CGATTGGAGGAAATATAAGTTAGTCGACATAGGCGAATATTAAAGGAAAACAGGCTTATTGTTTAATTTCATAGTTTGAGGCGATGTGAAATGATGGCGAAATGATTTCGAAACATTTGAATATTCTCTTTGAAGTCCACTACTAAACAACTTTTACTCTCCATTTTGACATACTATGGATGAGTATTTTTATCAGCTCAATACATAAATGGATCAGAATAGCGATTGGGGGAATATTAATTCATTAAGTTTTTTGTTTGAAAAGAAACGGAACATCCTGGCTTAGAAAAGTGTTTGGGACCGCGAAACAGCGAAACTCTATGGATTTTTACCTATTTATTTTCAGAAATTGTTAGCTTTTCACGATTTGACTGCCAATAAATGTTTCATCGATGTTTTGGACGATACTTTTGATGAAGGTTTGAAGAGATGGGCCTCCCATTCTGTAAGTATGATAAACATCAAATGTATCAGGAAAGTTAATGAAGACCTCAAAATACAGATCGTGTTCGGATTAAGTAAGAATTATTGCGCGCAGTGCAGACACGAGAACAAGAACTACTAGTCACATTTCATTAGGAACACAGACTGAAATAAATCAGTTGTCTGAAGATTGCACTCTTAGTAACAACATGTTTTAGTTTGAAACACATTTACATTTCATTATATTATTACAGGGAAAAGTTAGAAATCCAAAGAAATTTACTTTTGAATACCCCCGTGAACCCATTCATCCTGAAATCTTGAGAAAGTTTGGTGGTGATGTTATTGCTGATCATTGTAAAAATGTCACCTCCCATTGGGTAATCCGAGACGTTCCAGTCGTTGAAAATAGCCGAAACAAACGAGCAGGTAAGTACTTTTTTTCAATGACATTTGCTCATTCCATATTGCGGTGCAAGTTACAGCGAGCAACCATGGAAATTAAGACGAGTAACCATAGACATTACGACGAGTAACCATAGATATTTAGACGAGTAACCATGGAAATTACAACGAGTAACCATAGAAATTACGACAAATAACCATGTAATTACAACGAGTAACTATGGAAATAACGACGAGATTACCGATGTAAACGTGTAGACGTGATACACGAATGGGAACTGGATAGGGTCAGAGTCATCGGGCCACCTGTACTTTCATTTCGATAAAATGAGATTTCGTTATAACTTTACAGTCATTGACTGTTATTTGTTTGTTTGTCTTTCAGTAGCCCCTCAAGCAGCTTTCTGTTGTGAACCATACAAAAGCGGAAGTGCAATGGCCTAATGAGATCTATTAACATCTATATATAAAAACACCAGCGATTTTCTGAGCAGGATTACGAAATTTTTATGATTTGAATGAATCTCAAAAATATGTACCTTAGATGTTTCTTTTTTTAACCATATTTTTATATATAAAAATGGATGTATGGATGTTTTGTTGATAATAAAATTCAAAACTGATAAGAATTATTTTTGAAACAATTTAGAGTTTTATGCATCTGCGTTTTGACGTCAACTCAACATACATTTCGGAGAATTCTGTTAGCTCAGATTGTAAATGTCAAATGATCTACACATGCAACTGAGCTATCATAGCTACCAGCCACTCGCAAATGAGCTGCGAATGCGCATGAAGGGAAGAATATTAAGCGTGGTAAGGCAGAGAATTGAGAGAGTAAATGGTCAGGAGAAATACATAAGAGATGGTTGGGAAGGTCAGCAGTAGAAAAGTCAGATAATGTGAGAGTCTAATATTAGTCAATGGCTCTGTATATGTTGTACCTCCGTGCAATGCTTCGAATTTCAGTACTCCAAGTATCCACAGTGGTCAAACAAAACTGCAGAGAATTATATTAGTGTGAGTTAGACGCTTGCTCGCTAACCTGAAGGTCCAGGGTTCAATCCCGACATAGGTCGAGATAATACCTTCGGATTTTTCAACCCGGTAAGTGATGAAGCGTCTAGTTGTTCGGATGGGACATAAACCGAGGCCCTGTGTGCTACAGGCTGCACCCTGCCCGTCTTCATTAGCGAACAAGAAAAGTAGGACGTAAAACTCCATTGATTTCATTTTTTTTACAAATTAGCTAAGTTTATGGTTAGATGTTGGTGGAGATTACGCGATTAACGAAGATACATAAAAACGCCATCCGATGGTTAACCTTAGAGCTATCCCGAAGAGGCATCTTGCCTCGTAGGGCGTACAACCCTATGCTGTCCCACTCGATTTTAAATCAAATTTTAAAGAAAAGTCGTGGACAGAAATGGTTCCAGGTCCTTTGGCAGTAGCTGACTTTTCGATTTCCAACTGCAGATGGATGTTCAACGTTCACAGTGTCCTACATGACACGCTTTGATTGGTTAAAATGACGTTATTAGAACGCGACTGTGGTATAAGAGCTGTAAGATTAGAATATATTAGAAAAAAGATACGAAATTTTAATCTGATTTAATTTAGATTTTACCTATATCTAGACCACTTTAGCCTTTTAAATGAACATTGTCCATCGTTTCACAAAGTTTGTATTCCCTTTATCTGAAAACTTTGACAACGATAAAATACAGAGAAATGACTCCTTTAATGTGTTTTAAAAGTAGACCTAAGATATGATTTAATTGGTTTGTGATAGAAATGTATTAAAAATTGTTATCAATGCCGAGGTCCGTCATAAAAATCCGTTCCATTATTTTTATCGTCATATACAGACGTTAGAATAGCCGATAATACATAATATGATCTCTTCGATTATTTTTTTCTTGGTTATTTTAGAAATAAGCTAAAGTAATCAGAAAACAATTTAATTAAAACACAATTTTGTGATATTAGATTCACCTTTACTTTATTATTAACGGTGTGATTTCATCATCTTTAATACTCAAAGGTGACAGAGTCGGCTATCGTTGTAACCCTTGATGCAATAGACATAGGACATAATGTTCCCTGTCATATTTTTGTTAAAAATCTTGTTTAATCAAGTCCATCCTTTAGATAGGTATTCAGAATAAGCTTTCTGAAAGGAAGGAGGGAGGGGGTTTATTTAAAGGGATTGTAAACGTCACTAAAGGGACTAATGTGATGCAAGCATATTTAGCGATTAGTGACGTCATAGTTTTAGCGAAATTGCAGGAACCAACGACTGAAATTGGAATGTTTCAAATTGATGCTATCAGTTTCCCCGTACCCATTTTTAAAAAAGAATTAACTTCTTTACAATCCCTTTAGGAGCTCCAATTGTGCCATAGATATATACATATCTCTTTCTGTAATTGTAAATGTGGTAAATATCCTACGCCAAGTTGAATACCCTGGTCTTAGTCAATGCTATAACTTATATAAACACAATATAATTAAGAAAATAATGGTACTTAATAATATATAATAACCAATAATGTGAAAAAAGGCTACGGTATATCAGCAAAGCAAGGCACTTGGATATAACAAAAAAGGTAAATGTAAGGCATCTTAAGAATACCAAACAAGCAACACATCATCTGGTAGCATTTTTTTTTTAAAGATTGATACAAGCAAATAGTCCTAGACAGACATAACAAATAAAACATACTGTTAGGGTGCCTGGGAATTATTTGCACACAAAAGCATAAGCCAAGTTAAATTGTGTAAATAATTTTGAAAACGAAAAGTCAAATCTGCCAAAAAAATGGTTTTAACTATTACAAATCAAAAAATAAAATAATAAAAATCTAGATGTTTCTAAAAAAAAACAAGTGTGGAATTTTGCATTGGGAAATAGCACACCGAAGACAAAAATAAACAGACAAATTTATTAAGAAATATATAGAAAAGGCATCTATAGTAATAGGAAAGGAAATTCCTAGTTTGAGATATTTTTGAAGGACTTATGCGATTTTCATACATTTCTAGTACTTTTAATTACTAAAATTAGACTAAAATCAACCCCCCAATTAAACGACTTTATCCTTTTAAATGAGCAAGCTTCAGAGGCAAGATCAAATGGCAGATTATGTTTGATTATCATACACATCATAGGATCAATGAGTTATCTCCCTTATGTAAAATGAATGAATGAACTGGAATGCACTGTACTATAATATATGAAAGACCTATGTATTCAACTGTACGATAACATACAAACGATTTACTTATCAATTGTAGAGTGATATAGAAATACCACTGTTAAAATAGTGCTCAATACATCAATTGTAGAGTAATATAGAAATACCACTGTTAAAATAGTGCTCAATACATCAATTGTAGAGTAATATAGAAATACCACTGTTAAAATAGTGCTCAATACATCAATTGTAGAGCTATATAGAAATACCACTGTTAAATTAGTGTTCAATACATCAATTGTAGAGTGATATAGAAATACCACTGTTAAAATAGTGTTCAATACATCAATTGTAGAGTGATATAGAAATACCACTGTTAAAATAGTGCTCAATACATCAATTGTAGAGTAATATAGAAATACCACTGTTAAAATAGTGCTCAATACATCAATTGTAGAGCTATATAGAAATACCACTGTTAAAATAGTGTTCAATACATCAATTGTAGAGTGATATAGAAATACCACTGTTAAAATAGTGTTCAATACATCAATTGTAGAGTGATATAGAAATACCACTGTTAAAATAGTGTTCAATACATCAATTGTAGAGTGATATAGAAATACCACTGTTAAAATAGTGTTCAATACATCAATTGTAGAGTGATATAGAAATACCACTGTTAAAATAGTGTTCAATACATCAATTGTAGAGTGATATAGAAATACCACTGTTAAAATAGTGCTCAATACATCAATTGTAGAGTGATATAGAAATACCACTGTTAAAATAGTTCTAAATACATCAATTGTAGAGTGATATAGAAATACCACTGTTAAAATAGTTCTAAATACATCAATTGTAGAGTGATATAGAAATACCACTGTTAAAATAGTACTCAAGTTATACATCATTGAACACAATAATTGATCTCATCTTGATAAATATATGTGTTTTTTCTAGAATTCAAAAGGTGTATTCCAAGAAGCTTTAGACACTGAATGCACCTCTTGTTTACAAATCCCAGTGTTGGAGAGGGAAGAAATTTGATTGGCTGGCAGTGTCATCAAATGGATGAATGTTCAAGATGGCCGTCTTTAGACCATAACTGACCTGGCTAAATTGAAAATAAAAGCTGATAAAAAACAGAATGGTATCCAAGAATTTCTTCTTCGGAGGATAAAATGAAACCATGACACCTACACGCCTAGAAAATGACAATCCAACTACGTACCAAATGAGTTATTCCACAGTTTTAAAATTTGATTTGGTATCAAGGGTCAGGAGACTTCTGACTCGAGTAGTTTGATAAGATCAAGATGTACAAAAGGTATCAAAATATCTACATAGCATTTTTTGATATGAACATGATAGAATAAGTATGAGAATTCATGAACAACTCACAAAATTGAGTATTATAAAAATTGATTAGAAAGATTAAAACAGAACCTGAAACATGTTGTTACTCAGGGCAATAATTTGAACAATTATGCATATAAAAAACATAACACAACAACTTACAATAATAATAATAATAGTATTTTGATTTAGAAAAGGGAAAGAAATTAGACCATACATTACTGTTGATTATCAAGAACAAATCCTGAATACCCACTGTTAGGCCTGTCTTCCATTCTGCCCCTTATAGACAAAACACTTAAAGGGATTGTAAAGAGATTTTCTAAACTTTAATGTGTATCGAGGACACTGATAACATTGATTTGCAACATCCCAATTTTCAATCAAACCGTCTGTGGGTCTTGCAATTCCACCCAAGTTAAGTTTTTTATGATGTCACTATCAAAAAACCTATCACTACTTATATGCAGCCTTTGCCAAAGTGACAGCATATGTGGTAAAGCATTTCTATAGCTACAGGAACCACAGACATCTGTAGGACAATTAGATTGATGCCATATATGACACCAATACTCATGAAAAAGCTGGAAAACTGTTTTACAATCCCTTTAAAGAAATGCTTCTTATTCAAAATATACAAAACCGTTCATCATGTGATCTACCGCTACGTAGCGCACACAAAACCTTCTTCTTGCATGTTTCATCACAACTACCGTCTGGTCTTGATTTAAAATAATATCTATAAATAGAAACATGCGCATTATGACTTTTTGTAAGAAAATATACAATACATTTAAAGCTGTAAGCTCTGAAAGCATATTTGTATGATGTTCAAAAGACACGATTTCGATCTTTCAAGAAAATGCTTTTGGTAATTTTTGGTAACAGGAACCACAGATCTCTAACAGGAATCTGGAATTCTGCCAATAAGCGCCATACATTATATCCTATGTGCATACAAATGCCATAAAGTATCTTTTGTATCCTTTTGAGTAGATATAATTCATGAGTATTATTATCTTTCTTTTATCACTTTTCATAATAAAAATCTGACTGCTAATTTGTCTACAATTAAAGTAGACAGCAGACCTACCTATAAAAAGTATTTAATAAGGTATTGTTGGTTGACATTTTAGTTATGAGAATATCCCAGTCTGCTGGATTTAATGCATTCATTCCATAAGCTTTCTGAAATAAAACAAGACATCTTATCAATATACCACTGGATGAAGGCCCTGATTTTTCTACCCAGTCTCTCCCTGTCAGTGATAAAGATGCAGATATGGAAAAGGACCCGTAGTCGTTGGGACAATAACTGAGGCCCTGAGTACTTGATAGTTTGAAAATGAAAAAAAAAATAGGCTAATCCTAATCCTTATTTCCCTGATTGCACACTGTATGGTGTTTTACACACACTGAGGTTAGAGCTGGCAATTTGACTGCTTATCAAATACATTCCAGCGAGACCTAAACCAACCTTGATTTGTTTTGAAGCTGTAAAAGATACAAACAATGACTTACTTTAGCAGAATATTCTAAAGTCCATTTAGGAGTGTTATACATATTGGTTGATGTTAAATTTAATAAATAGGTTTCATGATCTAACACAGCCTGAAACAAAGATACATGAATGAATGAACAATTGATTGAATGAATGAACAATTGATTGAATGAATGAACAATTGATTGAATGAATGAACAATGAATAAACAATTGAATGATTGAATGAATGAACAATTGAATGAATGAATGAGCAATTGAATGAATATATAAATAAACAATTGACTGATTCAATGAAAATCCGATTGAACAATTGACTGATTGCATGAAAAACTGACTGATTGAATGATTGACAGTCAATATTCAAAAAAATTCTAAGAAACTTTGGCCATCGCCAATAATAAATTTTACCATCTCTTTTTTGTGTATAAAAACTGTGCATTATACTCGCAAATATATGGTTAGCGAAGTCAATATCTTACCCATGATGAACCATTATAATTACCATCCACTGTATAAATTCTAAAACCAGGATTTAAATCTGAATAGGGTGTTACACTGGGACTTATATAAGCAATATTTAATGGTCGTTTTAAATCATTCTCATCATAAAATACTTCAAAATGATCATTATGTGTGTGACCAAAAAACTGAGCAACTATTGTACTCTCATATCTGAAAAGAAATCAAATTGAGTGTTATGTCTGCACCAAATCAGCCTTAGGAAGGTGAAAATATCAGTGTTTAAAGAAAATTTGCCAAAATATCTACATAAGTCTTTACAATTTCAAAATTTCAACAGATCTGTAGCAGACTCTGCCTCAGTTTACTAACCCTTCAAACTGAAAAAAACTGTTTAAATGCAGCTCTGTTGATATTTGCTAATAACATCAAAAATTCTACAAACTTATTCGAAAAATATAGTAAGGACATATTTTATTGAACAGAGCATTTGATTGGTTGAATATTATATGGCCTAGAACATGAGATATATAACAATTTTGTCAGATCATGGATGTCATGTAGAGTCATCCTCATTTATACAGTTATATAAATGAATTTATGCCTAAACAAATATATCTGATATAAATTACCAACCTATTGACTATTTTATAGTAATTCCAACTCCAGGCTCGTAAACAATCTTTTATTCCTGGAGGTATATGACCAATAATATGTACCTGCAAGTAACATTTCAGTTTCCATTATGTTATGTCCCCTGATTCTGATAGTCGTGCATCATTATCTAAAATTCTATCATATTCGTTACAATGCTAAGATTGACAGCCATTAGGTTTTTATGCAAGTTATCTCAATAGATTTCCAAATGAAGAGAGCAGAAACCCTTTTTTTCCCTCTGACCTGCATCCAAATGAACTAAAAGTATCAAAATCCTATCATTTTGCAATCAAACATAAGACGCTATCCAGTCATTGTGACTATAATGACAGAAGTAGACACACTCGTTTTCACCTTGCTGGTTTAGTCCTGTGTCCAATTGTATTATAGTGACCTATTCTTAAGACATTGCAGACAAGAGTTACCTTTTCCTGGTTGTTTTCAGCTTGTTGTAAGATGTTTATTAACCACTGTAACTGGCCAGCAGGATCAGTAGCATTGAGTAACAACCACCTGCAATACAATTCATACAACTTTAATGGATTCAAGGCTTTTCATAGTGAAATATTTATAGCTTCCAATTTGCGCCATTTACTGTCTGATATAGTCTTGTTTCCTTCTAAGTTGATGAAGATGTTGTCTACCACCTGGTCCTTCACCAATTCTTTAGGCATTGATAATTCCTTGTTTTTCCCATATTCTACTGGGTCAACTTGATTGATGAGAAATGAAATGAATGGAGTATTACGTCCTACTTTTCTGCAGCATGTTGGCTAATGAAGACGGAGGAAAGATGACATATTCAAGTACGGTAAAAAGCAGAATTAGAGAAAGTCAGCTACTTACCAATTCCGATTGTTACAAAAATTAGTATTAATAGACACTATTCTAAAACCACGAAATGGTGACACTTCATAGAATGCTCCTCTGAAAAAAAAAAACAGAAAAATTATCTTACTTTGCTTTTGGGGCAGACACCAAAAGGCTCTCTCATTTTTTTACTTTGAATTTACATTTGTGTATTTGTAATCACTGGCATTATGTACCTGTGCTTGCCATGCGATATGCCGGCACTTCATGCAAAATACAGCAAAATTCACTATATGTTGTATTGTTACAGAACAGGACATTAAATTTGATTTTGAAAAGTGGTAAAGTAGAAATGTTTTTACCTTTTAATTGTAGAAATAGTGGTATTTGGCAGCCATGTTGACCAGTCTTCTGCTAGAGCATCATACAACCAACTTATAGATCGGTTACCAGTTATAAATGGTGGAGGAAAACTGATCAAAAACAAACAAGCAAAGATCTTTGTGAACATATATATTAACTGAAATATTCAAGGACTGTTGAGTTGAAATTTAAGGACATTTGAGTTGAAATTCAAGGATTTTATTGTTTTGTGTTTTCCAACTGCATAGCAATTAGCCATGTCTTTCTCCCTTCTGCATTGTTTTTAAGAACATATAAGACTACACCTTTGTTTTCAAGATTCCCTACTAAGCAAGTTTGTTCTTAAAGACTTTCAGGAACCAAATTTCAAAGTTTTCAAAGACTTTGTGAACATTAAGAAACAATCTATAACTACTAACCTATTCACTGGAGAACTCTCATGATTTCCAAGAGCACTGTATATTGTTTTATCAGGAAAATATTTCACAAACAAATCATGTAATCTTTTTAATATATCTACTTGATCTTGACGTGTTTGATTCCAGATATTATGAGCTGGTAAATCTCCTGTCCAATATACTATATCAAACTGAAATGAGATGGATTTTTACACCCTTCTGTAATTTTATATAAGAAGGTTATATGGTTTTTGAAAAAGTGACGTCATCTGGTCAGGTTCTTGTCTTATTGCAGGAACCGTATAAGTCAGATGAGAATAAAAAATAAAATATTTTAGGGGACTTCGATATGCCTAAAAAAGTAAATAAATTTCTTTTGAATAGATAATAATAATTTGGAGACTAGTAGGACTATTTGTTAATTACCTGATGTGATATTTGTTAATTACCTGATGTGATATTATTTAATTAGCTGATGTGATATTTGTTAATTACCTGATGTGATATTTGTTAATTACCTGATGTGATATTATTTAATTACCTGATGTGATATTTGTTAATTACCTGATGTGATATTTGTTAATTCCCTGATGTGATATTTGTTAATTACCTGATGTGATATTTGTTAATTACCTGATGTGATATTTGTTAATTCCCTGATGTGATGTTATTTAATTACCTTATGTGATATTTGTTAATTACCTGATGTGATATTATTTAATTACCTGATGTGATATTTGTTAATTACCTGATGTGATATTTGTTGGAGATGTTCAAACAGATTATTCAATGTCCAGATAGGTGTATCACAGTTTCTATAATCACCCCATTTTCCAGCTCCTGGCACCCCTTTACCTGGAATAACATTGATATGAAATTATTGGCCATGGTTTATGGCGCATCATCAATTTGGTGCATAACCTTACTCTGAATGACTCATAATTTAAAGTTGATGTTCATTTTACTGTTTGTCTCTGTCATATTGGACGCAAATGCATTCTTTTTTTATCAATTAAGTATCTTAGATCCACATTGACCCCCTTACAGGGTTCGTTCACACTACAAGCAAATCAGGACAGCGCATGAATCAATAATTTGCTACAGAGGATTTGTTTTTGCATGTTAATTGAACAGTAGACAACTGCTAGCTGCCATTGGTAAAAAATACAGTCAAATTTCACGAGTGTGTCGCTGTGCCTCCTCTGAGCGTCTGTATATTGAAGATATTGAGCGTCTGTATTTTGATAACAAGACATTAATATCGCTTCTAACTGCTTTGCTTCGCATCAGTCTGTTCACCTTGCAGAGTGACGAATGCACTACAGCCTTGAACATTAGCTGGTAACTAACCTGGTTGACCATCATCTGGTCTACAACACAATGGTTCATTACAAACAGCATTACTACCAGGTTTATATAGTACATCTAGATGTATATCAGAGAGCTGTAATATTCTCTTTACAGGTGATCCAGGCTATAGTATAGAAAATAGAAATGAAATGGAGTTTTCAGCATTCTAATTTTGTGCACAGAATTTTCCAGGGCTAGACAGGAAACAAAATTAAACTTATAATAGTTTAGGGATATTCTGGAAAGAAAATAGAAATGAAATACATCCTTCTTCCTCCACCTATTCATTATGGGCTATTGAAGATATGCAAACTGGCAGACTTATCAAGTGGACCGCTAGTCTAATACACCTCGGAATGCACCTATTGTTTGAGCCACATTATTCTGTCACTAAAAAAGGCAGCCACATGATTGGTTAAAACAGAGGTCAATCAAAGGTTGACAGAATGAAAAGTCAAGAAGGACAGTGTTAGACCATGGTTACGTACAAAGCTAATAGCTAACAAAACATTCAAAACGAAACTAATAAAATACAAATGGAAGTTAGGTCTAATTTTAATTAGACTGACAAACTGGTAGCTAATAATCTAACTTACCTTAGGTGGTTTTATTGGAGTGATGGGAGGTTTGGGTGTTTCAGGAAGGGTAATGTTCCAGTCATCTAAGGGATTATATGGATCTCCACAGTCAGTTATCAATATGGAGCAGACTTCTTTAGGTCCTAACACTAGTTTATCAAACACTGTCAAAACTTCATCCTGAAAGTGGAACATTTATGGGTATGAATGACTAAAACTCTTCTCATGTTGCCGACACGTTTCGGATAAAAAATCTTAATCAGGACATTCAGTTCTGTAAAGACATCTTTTCATAAACCAGAGCATTCAATTGGTTGAATATTATGTGACCCAGAACATGAGGGGCATAACAATTTGGTCAGATCATAGATAACAAGTGGAGTCTCCCTAAAAAAAAAACCCAAAACAAAAGATATTCACACCGAAAAGAAATAAATTTGAATTGTCTCATCTTAATTTTTTTATTCCTATCCTTAAGTCATTGCCAAATGTCCTGATTTGATATTGGACTAAAAAAAAAATTCCATTTGAGTCAACTAACCTTAAATTCATGACTCAATCCCTCACAGACTCTTTCATCTTCAATACCTAAATAAATACACAATCTTTCTATCTGAATTCTGATTTCTTCCTCAGATTTATACGAGGCTACTACTTCTTGAATCAGTCCTACGCCTAGTTTACAGGCTGTACATCCTGCTGATCCTAGAATACGGCGCGTGATTGGGTTCTTCACGAACTTGGTTACAGTGTTATCATAACTCAATTGATAATTTTCGATGGTTTTCTGCTGGATGTAATCATTCACGTCTGCTGTTTTTAATGATTGGAATTTCAAGATGTGTGAATTTATGATGTTTATTGAAAGGAAGACTACGAGTATACCAAAAACCTTCATCTTCTTCAAATTCTACATTACATTCTATTCCCTGAAAAAGAAAATTTCAAAAGACCTATTGAATATTAAGTTTTCATCAAGTTTTATACAACATTTCAACGACCGAATTAAATTAAAAACGAAATCCATTTCCACTTTTCTTATACACTTTAGAAATAAAAATGTCCGTACCTTTTTACCATTCACCAATATAATGAAGGAAGGAAAAAAGAGATGAAGATGGTTCTTTTCTTATTAATATCTTCCTCGTATGAAGTTTTGTTTTTCAATGTTATGTTGAATCACATGATACATCACGTGATTGCACAATACAGGCGAATTCTTTAGTGCTTAAAAAGTACCCACTTCTTTTGAGCAATTGCATAACTTCATCAAAATATATTTTATAACTGTAACTGAATTGATATGTTTTTTATTTGCTCAGAAGTGATTTTTGCATCAATTAATGTTCCGAATTTAGATCAAATTAATTGACCCAGCCAATGTATATAACCAAGTTTAAACTTAAGTTACCAAATCGTACGATGAGATAACTATTTGTAGTCATATTTCATACAATTATGATGCCAAAAATCCAAAAAATTCCTTTCGATGTGTTTCTTATGTGTCCGGGACAGACAAGCTTTTATGAGCCACTCTTTAATGTAGGATTTATTTGAGTCGAGGGTCCTCATTGTTGAATGCTCTTCTCTCACCTCTTAGACGAGTTCACTTGAAAACTTTGCCTGGAATTTAGTCACATTGGAATTTAAGTTAGTCACACTTGTCCTGATGAGGATTTTATACCCAAACCAATGTCTTGTTGTTAAGTTTTCGACACCATTATTAAATTTATCTCTTTTTAATAAACAGCTTAGTATACTTTTTGAGTCTACGGTTTTTTATTTCAAGGGGATATTATATAAATATTTTATAAGTGACATATCACCTTTCATTAAGGAGCAGAAGATTCAATTCCCACTCCACCCTTACATGAGATTATTAGGTCTATACGTCATCTATTGCAAGAGAGCTATCGCCATAATTTTCTGCACATGCTTAGGCTAATGAAGACAGTCAACGCAATGCAGTGTGCTATGAGGGAAATCCTCAACAAATTTCTCAAGTAAGAACCAGTTCCTTTCAGAATCGGACCCGGTTCAAAGTCCTCCATCTATTATGACCTTGAGGTGTCTAACCTAATATTTTATCTCTCGACTTTCTGAAGTAAAAATTGTTTATTCAGCATTATAAAAGGGGTATTGAATATACAGCTTGTACGAGATTTATAAACTACTCGAATGAACTTTGGTCGACAGAGGTTGGCGTGGGGGAATAGATAGATTGAATGAGCACTCAGAAAATAGGATTCAAACTGCGCCAGACACATTGACGTGCAATTTCAGGTATAGTAGCAGATTTATTTCATTTAAAGGGACAGTTCGCCATTCGTTTGACCAATTTTACTTTAGTTTCAGAAATGGGAATTTCTTAGCTTAGCTAATCATTAATAGTGTTCACAGCTAACTGTCGAGACATTTTAGCCTTCAACTCCACACGTGTGGCCAGAATAATTCACGTCTGAATGTTAAAATGACGACTCGTCATTTCTTGAGACTCTGCCATATAGAAAAGACATATAGAAATAGAAAGATCATACCTAGTTTGAGATATTTTTGAAGGAATTATGCGATTTTTGTTCATTTCTAGTATTTCTGAAGACTATTTATATATATTCAAGACCCAAATCAACCGCAGAAAATGCAGGCGAATCTATCCCTTTAATGAGACCGTGTATTTTTATATCTCTTGTGTATGGAATGTTTTACAAAAAAAACCCCCAAAAACATATTGCAGTTAATAGTGTTTTTTCTATTGTCTGTTAAGATCTGTTCTTAAATTTTCTTCAGTCAAGTCCATATTTTTTAAATGTTTCAACATTGTTTCAAACATAGATTTCACTTGAAAAACATGCTGTTTTTACAATGTCCTGGGTGTTCTTTTGGTGAAAAATATTAGATTTTAAACATTTTTTCAATACAAACATGCCTAGGAACTGATTTTAAACATTAAGATATGCTTTGAATCTTAAACTCGGAAACTTGAGACCAACAGGATTAGTATTATAGGATCTTTAAGAGCTTAGTTGTATGTACTTTGATGTAGTCTGGTTTTGTAAAGAAAAAAAGAGTTACGTCCCATTTGTTGTCAAAGAATTACAGTGAAAAGGTACGTAGCACATCCATTAAATCATACGATATTTTTTTGAATTTGAACTATTTTGACTAGTTATCACTGAAAATATATATTGCAGCGTTTACTTGGCTGGTTTATAAGGCCAGTGATTTACGTTTATTGTACTGTCTTTTGCATTTGTAAGAAAAAATCAGAGCTTACAGTTTTCAGAGAGTAGGGTAATTTGAAGGCCTAATCATGCTAGGCCTCATAATGCAGTAGACATAGTGATCTGATAGTTGCAGACAGGTTTACTAGTATAAGTTATACTAACACAATACAATTAACATTAATTTACAATTTCTTCTCTATTTGTCTCTCTAATAATCTTACTTGTTCGCATCACAGTGGTGTTCTAATGACATATTTAGCCAATCAATGATGATCAAGGGTATATATCGTGGGTGACCACTTCACTTGAAATTGAAACCTTGTATATGCCATATGTGATAAAGCATATTTTGTGACGTCATCAAACACTTGGTTTTAGTGGAATTACAGGAACCAAATTGAAAATTGGAATGGTGCAAATTGATACTACCATTGTCCCTGATACACATCAAAATTTAGAAACCTCTTTACAATCCCTTTAACTGAATAATTGAATTGTTTATGGATATTTTTTTCAGATAGTGAAAGTGAAAATGAATGCAAAATGTGGATCATTAAACCATTATGGTGCAGACGACTTCGAATGGCTACATCAAGAAAATTGAATCTACAAGTCAAGAATGTTGTACTGCTTGCATTGTTGTTATTCCTTATTTGGTATTTACGATCAAGGTTATATTACAGTTCAGCAGAAATGGGAGATTCGAAGATAATGTCCATGGGACTTCAGTTCAAAGACCGAAAATTTATGTTGAATGGTAAAGAAATATGGATAATGAGTGGTGCCATGCATTATTTTCGCGTCATGCCAGAATATTGGAGAGATAGGATGTTGAAAATGAAAGCTGGTGGATTGAATACCATTGAAACGTAAGTTGGTTTTGTTATTTCTTAGGGTCTTGTTGCCAATTGTCAATGGCCGTTGTTTCCAACATTATCCTAGTAAGTGAAACAGAATCCCTGTTTGATGCCAGTCGCAATTGTTCAATATATATCTGAACTTTTTTTACGATGTTTACGGAGATGAACTCATGTCAGTGTAACAGATTTTAAATTTCTTGTAAAGTCAGAAGTAAAAGTCAGTAAGCATATTTGATAATATTTTTAGATATGTGTCGTGGAATCTTCATGAACCAGAACCAGGCCATTTTGATTTTGAAGGAATGCTTGATTTAAGGTAAGAAATTATTGGTTGTTTTGAACTATTTCTGCTACATTGTATATTGCAAATATCTTTAGCATTACAGGGTTTATAATCCTTCAATGGCTTATTAATTTGTAATATTATAAAAGATAAAATCTAAATATTTACTTCACAAGCTGATACAAGTTTTTATTAGCCTAGTAATGTACAGAAAACTTCAATACCTTTTATTTTTTGCCATTATTTGCAGACGATATATTGAATTGGCTCAAGAACTTGGTCTATATGTAATATTCCGTCCTGGACCATATATCTGTTCAGAATGGGATTTTGGTGGAATGCCAAGGTAGGTAATTTTGCAGCTGACGAAGTGTTTATTTTTCTGAGCCCAAAGTGTTTGCTTTTGCAAAGTGTTTTTTATAAAAGAGCTTCAAAATGCTTATTTTTCTTAAGATATTGCTGTTATATTGTTATGGAAATATGAAAACAAAACTTGAAACACGTTGTTACTTAGAGTTTCACGCTTTGCAATTTTCATAAACTGTAAAAATAATAATTACAAAATATCCTGGTCCATTGATAGCAGACCTAAAGCCTACACAAATATAAAATCAAATAATGTAACCTGTATTTAACTGAAAAGCTTTCCATCATTAATGCTCTTAAGCACACTTCATTAAACAAACATTCCAAACTCGTCTCAAAGTGTAGACATGAGAATAATTTCTACTTGTCCATCTTCAGTAGGGACACAGGCTGAAAATAGGTCAGTTGTATGAAGACCGCATAGCGTGAATCTCTGAGTAACAACATGATTCAAGTTCTGTTTTAATATATTTATTTTAGTTCCATGATATAATAGTTTTAACACATTTTTTTTTTACTCCTTAAATAGTTGGTTGTTAAAAGATCCGAATATGAAAGTTCGCTCAAATTATGAACCATATCAAGCTGCTGTGAAGAGATTTTTTAATCATCTTTTACCAATGATTGAAGACTTACAGGTCTGTTTTAAAGGCCATGGTTCACTGTATTGATTTGAGTCTTGAATATGTATAGCCTGAACTGAACAGAAATCGCCTAATCCCTTCAAATATAACTAGAAATTTCACTTTATATTTTTATATGTCTTTTCTATATATGGCAGAGTCTCAAGAAAAGACTAGCTGTCTTTTAAACTTTCAAGCACAGATGAATTAGATACAATTGATCAAAAGGATGCTGAATCTGTCCCTTTCAAATTTATTCCCAAATAACCATTTTATTGTGCAATTTTTTTACCCCCATGTATTAGTGTATACTGAAACCTTTAAGTTATGTTTAATACACACTGAATGCATCTGAATTCTACAGTTTTTTCTAATCACTATGGATCACCACCTGCGTATGATTGCTAATAAAAGATAGTGGTTATAGGTTTGCAACAAGCATGCAGACGATCGCAGACGCACACAGAGTAAGTTTGAAAATTTTGGACATGGTCAGTAATTCTCTCCAAATTCCGGTCATTAATTAATATGCAACAGAGACACTTTGTGAAATATGTAAATTATTTTTGCAGGCAACAAGAGGTGGACCTATAATAATGGTACAAGTAGAAAATGAGTATGGATCATACCATAGTGATGTTTCACATTTACATTTTATAGCAGATGTAGGTTTCCATTTTATATTGACGCAAATTCTGGTGCTGTCTATTTTTCTGACATTCTATTGCACAAATGACTATTGGCCAGCGCGTCTGGAGTTACTGACAGGGGGTAACTGTGTTGAAAAATTAAAAGGTACAATTGCTATCCATGCTGGTATCAAGTCCTTTAGGTAGAGGCAATTAGTTCATAAAGAAAATGCTGTTTTTACAGCACATCTGATTTTCAGTATAAAAAGGGAAACAGATGACTGCAAGACCCCGAAAGCACTGCTCAAATTTTCAGTCAGACGTCTGCAGTTCTTGTGGTTCTAAAACTTGTTGTTTTATGATGTTATAATCACAAAAGATATCTAAGTGCCTTTTTCTTAGTGACATCTTAAAATGCTTAGTTTTTTTAGTGGTACATGTATTGCAAATTGATGATATCAATATCCCCTGTACACATAAATAGTTTAGAAATTCTCTTTACAATCCCTTTGATTAAGCTGAAATTATGCAATTGACGATTTTAAATGTCTTTAATTATAAGTTATTTAGAGAATATGGAATTCAAGAACTATTGGTGACGTCTGATGATTTAAAGGGCAATCATCGAGCTATGATTAAGTCAGGTAATGAGTTCAATATGAAATGCATGATGCATGTGTTAACTATATTGTAGTTATTGAGACACCATGGTGTTCAAGAATTACTAATAACATCTGATAATGAACATGGTATGGCTAGAGCACCATTTTTCAAAGGTGAGAAATCTTGAAAATTCCAATCAGTTGATCAATCAATCAATCAGTTGATCAATCAATCAATCAGTTGATCAATCAATCAATCAGTTGATCAATCAATCAATCAGTTGATCAATAAATCAACCAGTTAATCAATCAATCAACCAGTTAATAAAACAATCAACCAGTTAATCAATCAGTTGATCAGTTGATCAATCAGTTGATCAATCAATCAATCAGTTGATCAATCAATCAATCAATCAGTTGATCAATCAATCAGTTGATCAATCAAATAGTCAATCACAAAACGAACTGATCAATCAAACTATCAATCAGTTGATCACTTGATCAGTTAATCAATCAAGCTGTTGATCAATCAGTTGATCAATCAGTTGCTCAGTCAATTAGTCAGTTGATCAGTCAGTCAATCATTTGATCAGTGAATCAATCAGTTGATCAGTCAATCAATCAGTTGATCAATCAGTTCATCCAGCCAGTCGTTTTTGAGATTCCACAGTCTTGTTACAATCTTGAATCTGATTTATTATTTATTTTCCAGTGGCTCTACCAACAGCAAATCTCAAGAAGTTTGACATAGAGCTATACAAACATATAACAGAGATAGATTCTAATTTTCCTTTCATGGTCATGGAATATTGGAGTGGTTGGTTTGATCATTGGGCAGGCGAACATAAAACAGAAACAGTTGATTGTAAGTCATCAGTCTATTAACATCATAAGATCGTTGCTCCCTCAATTTGGCTTATATTGCATATACATATTTATATAGAGGTTTCCTTAACTTTACAAGAGGAAAAGCTGTTAGTGATATGTAAGTAAGGGCCTTTGAGATAGTGACGCTTAATCTTAGTAAAATTCCAAGAACCACAGAAGTCTGACTGAAAAATGGAATGATGCAAATCAATGCCATATGTGTCCCTGATACACACTAAGAGCTACAATCCCTGGAAAACTAGGATAATGGGATGCTCAGTCAGTAGAAAAATGGATTGTGCCAGGCAATGGGACAAAGGGATTTATGATGCCAAAGCTTCTGCATTAGAGATTCCATCACCTATTAGTTCTTAAGCTATGCTTATCATTGCATTTTAACTTTTTAACAGACCATGAAGAAATGGTAATAGAAATACTTAAAAGACAAGGATCTATTAATTTCTATATGTACCATGGTGGAACCAATTTTGGTTTTATGGCAGGAGCTAATTATTTTGGTGAATACAAGGCTGATGTTACTAGCTATGGTAAGCAAGTTTATTAGGACTCAATCTAAATAAATTTAGTTTACAATTTTGTTTCTTTTCTTCTAAGAAATTTCATCCTTATTGTAATCTATCAAGTTTTCTAATGCTGCCTGTTCTAACTAAGTTATTTTTAACCAATCAAAATGTGTCACTCATAAAATAATTACGAATTTTGAAATAGCAATGGCAAAAGTTGAGCAATATGAAAGCCTCTTTAAATTCGTTATCCCACAAATTTGTCCATGCTACCAAGAAACGGATCCTACATGACGCTTTGATTGGTTAAAAATAACAGTTATTAAAACGCGATTGTGGTAGAAAACCTGTTAGATTACAATGAAGGTAAAAATATCTGAAAAAAATAAACAAAATTCATATGATAATTCAAGTTAAAATGTGAGCTTGTTTCTATTTACAAGCTGTTGGAATTGAAAAATAGATTGTTGAGTTTAAAGGTTCCTCATCTTTACCTCATTGTATCGAATTTTAGATTATGATGCACCACTATCAGAAGCTGGAGATTTAACACCAAAATATGACAAAACAAGACAACTTATTTTAGAGTATGTCTTGAAACCTCAAGGTATGTATTAACCATAATGTACCCAAATATATCAAAATATTTCAGACTTTATTTCCTAACTATTTTATGTTTGGTAGAAGGTCAAGGGTGCTTTGAAAAATATGACGCCATTTTGCTTAATAAAGGTGATCCAGGAAAGCGTGTTAACAAAAAGTTTGAAATTCAGAACAAGAGTCACTATTCTGCATGATTCTTGTACTGTCTTGTAACCAATAGTGATGAATCGTAACCAATAGTGATGAATTGTGTTGACTGTTTTTGTTGTTTGATTTTGACAGGAATCACAAGTCTTCCAGATCCTCCACCAAACTCGCCTAAAAACAGCTACGGTGAGAACACTTTTTTTGTTATCGGCATCACCCATAACTGTCTGTCCATTGGTCAATATTTGCATTTGCCAAAGGCAACCATTTTAATAAAACATTGTCAAATTTTTTTATTATCACCAACAGATGAACCCTATCAAAAATCAAAAAAATATAAAAAATTTAAAATGAGTTAGTGCCCTTGTTTATGAAAAAGTTAAAAGTCCTTTTAATATACAACACTGATTCCTATACTTTTGATATAATTTCAGGAACAGTAGAGATTAAAAATTTTATTCCTTGGAATGATATACTACAGCTTGTCACAGTAAGTAGCATCAGAGCTGTGGGAAAGTCAAGAGAATTTTTTTTCTGAGTTGCTGTTCATGTATTATATATTTGCGAGTATAGTGCTCATTTTTTACCCTCAGATATGTCTTTTATATGCCTTCAACTGTGTGGCACCATTTTTGCATTAAGATTTTAGCCAATATCAAATACTTCCACAAATTGGTAAGAAATCTGAATGAAGGTTCAAAAATTTGAAATCAATAGTTTGGTGAAGCACATGGAGATTCAGTGAAATTTTTTTTTATTTTCTAGAAAACAGTACAGAGTCAGTCAGTGGTAACCATGGAGATGTTGGATTTAGGTAACGGTTATGGACAATCATATGGATATATTGTTTACCGTAAAACTATGAATGCTGGGAAACATCTAAGCTTCACATCAATGAATGACAGAGCTCAGGTAAATTACCCAGATTCTGTAAAATAACAATATTTATTTACAAAAAATTGCAGGAATTGTACTGAATTGAATGTTTTACTGCTCTGTATATTTATTGGGGAGTGATGTTCTGTTTCAGGTTTTTGTTAATTCTAGAGAAGTAGCAGTATTTGAAACGAACAGTATATCCTTGGAGGTTAATACACATATTAAACAGGTTAGTCATGCATACTTCACACCCACACGAAATTTAAATTGTCCGTCTGTCTGCAATTAGCTTGTGCTCAAGCTTGGACTGGAATTTTTATACAAAATAACAATATGAAATATTACATTGTTATTTCAATGTAGTATTTCACATTGTTTTTTTCAATATATCAGTGTAGTATTTCATATTGTTATTTCAATATATCAGTGTAGTATTTCATATTGTTATTTCAATATGTCAGTGTAGTATTTCATATTGTTTTTTCAATATGTCAGTGTAGTATTTCATATTGTTATTTCAATATGTCAGTCTATTTCATATTGTTATTTCAATATGTCGGTGTATTTCATATTATTTCAATATGTCAGTGTAGTATTTCATATTGTTATTTCAATATGTCAGTGTAGTATTTCATATTGTTATTTCAATATGTCAGTGTAGTATTTCATATTATTATTTCAATATGTCAGTCTATTTCATATTGTTATTTCAATATGTCAGTGTAGTATTTCATATTATTATTTCAATATGTCAGTCTATTTCATATTGTTATTTCAATATGTCGGTGTATTTCATATTATTTCAATATATCAGTGTAGTATTTCATATTGTTATTTCAATATGTCAGTGTAGTATTTCATATTGTTATTTCAATATGTCAGTGTAGTATTTCATATTGTTTTTTCAATATGTCAGTGTAGTATTTCATATTGTTATTTCAATATGTCAGTGTAGTATTTCATATTATTATTTCAATATGTCAGTCTATTTCATATTGTTATTTCAATATGTCGGTGTATTTCATATTATTTCAATATGTCAGTGTAGTATTTCATATTGTTATTTCAATATGTCAGTGTAGTATTTCATATTGTTATTTCAATATGTCAGTGTAGTCTTTCATATTGTTATTTCAATATGTCAGTGTAGTCTTTCATATTGTTATTTCAATATGTCAGTGTGGTATTTCATATTGTTATTTCAATATGTCAGTGTAGTATTTCATATTGTTATTTCAATATGTCAGTGTGGTATTTCATATTGTTATTTCAATATGTCAGTGTAGTATTTCATATTGTTATTTCAATATGTCAGTCTATTTCATATTGTTATTTCAATATGTCAGTCTATTTTCATATTGTTATTTCAATATGTCAGTCTATTTCATATTGTTATTTCAATATGTCAGTCTATTTCATATTGTTATTTCAATATGTCAGTGTAGTATTTCATATTGTTATTTCAATATGTCAGTCTATTTTATATTGTTATTTCAATATATCAGTGTAGTATTTCATATTGTTATTTCAATATATCAGTGTAGTATTTCATATTGTTATTTTAATATATCATTGAGTTTGCTTTATTTGCACATTTATTACTAGCTCAAATATTAAAAATCCCAAAAGCTGTCACCATTTTATCAGATAATCAATTTAATCTAATATTCATTTTTATAGACCATTTTTTTGTCTATATAATTATGTACATGATCTCAAATAAGGTCAAAATGATCTTTTTATGAAGTTAAATAGGCCAAGAAAGGTTTGAATAAGTTTTTGTCTCTTAATTGAAATAGACTATAGTCTAGAAGTACTCTGTCGAGATATAAAATGAAATAATTATCTTATATTAAATAACATATAAGAAATAGACTATAGGTATTGCACCACTCTATCTTCTAGCTATATATAGTTTATATAGATAGTGTATAGTGGGTAAGGCTATAGTTAAATGGGTTCTTCGTATTTCTAAAATTTAGAGATTAAACTTGCTTTAAAGACCAAAGAAGAAGATTACAGATGAAGACCTATCTGGGTCTTTGTACCCAGGCTCCCATTGACGCAATCCTTACCCATTTTTTTTTTGCAATGTATATGGAATCAGAGACTGATCTGAAACATTTCATTGGGCATTTTCAAAGGCATGGGTTCAAATCTCAATTAAGACATCTTTTGATCTAAAATATTTTTTTCATTTTTTTATTTTTTGAAATGATAAAGCATACTTTGTTTACCTTAAAAAAGTGAAAGTTTGGAAGATATTGACTTATATTCTTTTAAAATAAATTAACTGAAAAAAGTGTTATTGTAGGCTTACATAGGTTTTCTAAATTCTTTATGTGTATCAGGGACATTGATAGCATCAATTTGCACCATTACAATTTTCAGAAAAACGTTTGGTTTTTGTAATTGCACCAAAAACTAATTTAAGGGAATTGTTAAGAGGTTTTCTTATAGCATAGATTTGCAAAATTCCAATTTTCGATCAAACGTCTGTGATTCCTGCAATTCCACTAGAACTTATCGCAAAATATGCTTTACCACATAAGGCCCTTCGCGATTAGTGATGTCATCAAACACTAAGTTTTAGTGGAATGACAGTAATCATAGACGTCTGGTTGAAAATTGGAATAGTACAAATTGATGCTATTAATTATTAACTCTTTGTAGAATGATGTAGTAGATATAATAGTAGAAAATCTCGGTCGAGTGAATTACATTGATGCCTTCTCAGATATGTTGAACCAACAACGAAAAGGTAAGATCATACATCTTATTTTATGAGCATTGTTGTAGGAGGTGTGGGGAGGAGGGGACCCTTAGCAACTCCATTGCTTTGCTGACACCTATCTTGGAGGAAGTAGCCCATGTTTATGTGTGTTACTATTTATAACTGGTTTGTTTTCCCCTTATGATAATAGGATTACATGGGTCAGTCTCATTGGACAACACTGAGTTATCAGACTGGAAGATTTTCTCCTTAGATTTTGACAAAGATTTCATTAAAAGGTATGATTTATTAGTGTATTTTTTAAATAATTTGTATTAATTTATATTATGTATTTAAACAAAACAGTAATATATTTAAGGAGTTTAAATAAAAAAAGAAACATAATCCCAAAGTCATCTGTGGCCAAAAACAGATGTTTCAATTGGATAGTAGAGCAATGCCAAATTTGAAGGGAATGGGAAAAGGATTTCTAAATTGTTTATGTGTATCGAAGACACTGATAGCATCAATTTGCACCATTCTAATTCTTAATCAAACATCTGTGGTCTCTGCAATTCCACTGAATCTAAGTGTTTGATGATGTCACTAATTGAATAAGGCCTTATGTGATAAAGCATATTTTGCAATTATTGACGTCATCAATATTTTTTTTTTTTTTGGAATGGCAGAAACCACAGACGTCTTACTGCTTAACGCCTTTCTTATAACAAGTTTACTTAACAATGTTGTCTTGTGTCCAATTGTGTAACCTAACCAACCTCAAGTCTTGTGCATTTTATTTTAGAGTGTCATCTTCACAGAAATGGGAGAAATATGAAGGGTCCCAGGATGAATCTACAGCTGGGTTATACAGATCATATTTAACAGTGAATGACAAACCACAAGATACATTCCTCAAAATGAAGGTAATATCTCCCTTATTAATACTAATATGACATAATCAAAGACTCTGTTAGATGTTATTGTTTCCGTCATTAACAGAAATTCCTCACCCATCACACTTGGTGGCTAAGTTTTTGCTAAACTGAGTATTTGATGTTTGATATCAAGTGAGGTCTTCTACTTAATGTCAAGTTATAATAAACTTTTTCTTACATCTTGTTGAAAGCCGTACATGGCCTGGTGTCAAGCTTTGATTATACGATTAATCTCTCTTGTGAGTGCTTAAAATATAGCCAATCAAATGCCCTGTTACAAAACCAATTAAAGAATTGGTATTTAAGAGTCTTATTATCAAGGGCTCTGATTGGCTGTATTTGCTTGCATACAATGCAATCAAATTGCTGGATTAAGAAACTTCGGTGATACAGAAAAACTGCCTTGTCAAGGTGTTAGACAGAGTTTGTATGATGTGAGGTAGTCCACAGGGAAAAAAGAAACAAAATATGTAAAACCATACTGTCAATGGATTGTTTATATATTTGACAGGGTTGGAGTAAAGGTATAGCTATAATCAATGGTTTTAATCTAGGGAGATATTGGAATGTTGGTCCACAACTTACATTATTTGTACCAGCACCTGTTCTTAAAACTGGACAGAATGAGGTAATTTTGCCTTTATGTTTCTTGCTTTGAATAATTTATTGTGGTCTTAAAATGACAGTTGTCTCCCTTAGGAGAGTAGTTGTAATTGCCTGCTTATAATCTGTACCCATAGAGTTATATACATTCTGTAATAATAACTCTATGACTGTACCCTTATCATTTAAGACTAGGCTAATGAGGACTGAGGCCATATTGAGATTTGTTTTGTTGTAGTGCACTTGAACAACAAAAGCCTTGCCGTATGGTCCTGAAGCAACTTTTTGTGTTTTACTATTACAGGTTGTGATATTTGAGCAACATAAATGTGGAAGTTCTATAACATTCCAAGATCAACCAGAATTGGGAATAACCAAATAATCCAGGAGAAGTGTGTCTCTAGTTAGTTAGCTTCAAAGGAATATTTTGTACCAATTGTTAATTTCATCGTCAAAATTCCATGTCATTCTTTTACATGTCACCTAGCCAAATGCATTGGATATAATATAATAAATGGTGAGGAAATCCAATTTCTTTGATTTTGATATATTACTTTTCATTGGTCAAAATGTCTTCAAGATTTCATATAATCAATCAAATCCATTGTATTCGAATATTGGTTTAATTTAGTCTTATCAACCCGTAATAAACACTTCAGTTTGGGGGTGTGGAAATGAAAATGGTGCTAACAAAGGGACTATAAAGGTGTGATTTGATTTGATTGGCTGAGATTTCCTAAAAATATTCCAGGGCCAATTTAGATTGGACAATATTTATATATATTTGAATATGTAATATCTCTCACTTATATTACCAAGGCCTGTAGAATGTATGACGATTGGGGGCGTGGTTTGGTTGTACACGATAAATCAAATCCAATGTTCTTAGCAACTAATATGTGTCCAAGTAACATGTAATAAGCAGGACATGGATTTTTGACAAAATTTGTTTATTTTATAAAATATTTTAAAGGAATATTGGGGGTTGTTTATATTTTAAAAGAAAAGGTTGTAAAAAAAAAAAAAAAAAATTGGTGTTTTTTTTATTTAATACTCTTTTCAAATATTTATATAAATGAATAACAGCCTTTTTTTTTGGTTCAGTCATTTTATGATAAATTTATTGGCCAGATTTTTGTGCAACAGGCTCGATGGATTCAATCCCTTATTAGAGATAAAAGAAATAAAAAATCCCTCCACTGTTGAAAATGGATAAAGAATAAGGAAAATAATTGTTTTAGAGTGTATATTTTGCAATCAATATTTTTTTTTTGGCCTGTTTAAAGGGACTGTTTCCCCATCCGTTTGACCAATCAAACCTGAGTCAGGAATATTAGCTAATCAGTACATGTTTACAGCTCACCGTCGAAATTTGAGACTTCAAATCCATGTATGTCCAGAATTATACGTCTTTTCTTCGGATTCTGTGAAATTTCTAGAGATATTTTTGAAAGAATTAAATGATTTTCGTACATTTCTAGTACATCTGAAGATCGCAAATATGATACCCCCCAGAATGACAAAACTGTCCCTTTAAATAAACAGGTCAGCTTTTTTGGACTTGATTACACTTGGTCTATTAATATTGCCAAACTCTGTCTATTTTTTATACTTGTTTGTTTATGGTATGTTATTTTGTATATTTTACACCGGTAAACTTTATTGCAATGTCTATAATTCTCAATAAAAGAATTTAACTCATTAATAAATCCAAGTCATTAAAGTGATACTACGTCTTAAAATGAACATAAAATATAATTCTCAAGAAAGGTCAATATGAGTATATATTCATCAGTGAACTTACCTGGAGTAATAAAGTTACAACAGAATCCCTCTAAAATCTAGAAAATTGGAAAATTCATAAAACTAAGTAATTATTGAAAAACACTTAATCATAATATTAAGCGTTTTTCAATAATTAATTGCATTTTTATTAAGTTTTTTGGATTTATCGGATTATATAAGGATCCTGTTATGTTATTTATGACACCAGGTATATCTACTGGCTCTTATTGGTCAATTTTATGTTTATTGTAAGACGTAGTATCCCTTTAAGTTAACAGAATTTTAACTCTCTGTTTCGTACCCGTCCATCTTAAGCATGTACATCATTCTGTTTTCTCTACAATGTCAATGGTTCTTGTAATTCCATTTTTTTTATTTATTATAGGAATTTGAGATGAATTTTGTGGCATTGCTATTATAATTTGCAAAAAAAATATTAAAACTGGCTACTGAATAGACCTTATTCATGTGACAGCCATATTGAATCCAGAACGAGGCTCATAACGCAAACTAACAAAAGGCAACGTGGAGTCACTGCAGTGGGATCGCCACCTAGACTTCTCAAATCTCGAATGCCTCCCTACAGCATTCTCATTATAAATTTTATTGTGATTGAAATCGGAATTGATCAAGCTATTTAATGACACCTCAGATGAAGTTTACCCTCACACATTTCTTAGAAAGACAGCTTTAAGCCCATTTTCTTGCTGTTGATCATGTTTATTGACGTCACAAACAGCCTATTCATTCTTATCTATGGATGCGTTATGAACCTCGCTTTCAGTGTCTCAAAAACAAGGCGTGATTAAGGTCTGTAGGGCTAGGATTTGTAAAAGTTATGATATTGTGTGGTCAAATCACTATTGAATTTAAAATACATCTGATATATGATTTTACAAGTATTAATACTTCAACAATTGTACAGACAGAGATTGTATCAATTGATTTTTATTGTAAAATAAAGGTTATGTATGGATTTATCATTATGTCTTCCTAACATTACATTTGTCATAAATGCTGGGTCATGTTAGGCTAGAATTTGATCAATGGCAAATATTATGGGCACAACAGAGCTATGAGAACAGCAACATTTAAATGATGCCTGGCATCTCCATGAGATCACATTAGTAGGCCTACAATAGTGGACTACCGTCTGGAATGGAGCTCAGAATTAGGTGATGTCAGGTGTTTCAATAAAGCTGACAATAATACAACAGTGGACCAACCTCTGGAATGGAGCCCAGAATTAGGTGATGTCAGGTGTTTCTATAAAGCTGACAATAATACAACAGTGGACCACCCTCTGGAATGGAGCCCAGAATTAGGTGATGTCAGGTGTTTCAATAAAGCTGACAATAATACAACAGTGGACCAACCTCTGGAATGGAGCCCAGAATTAGGTGATGTCAGGTGATCTATAAAGCTGACAATAATACAACAGTGGACCACCCTCTGGAATGGAGCCCAGAATTAGGTGATGTCAGGTGTTTCTATAAAGCTGACAATAATACAACAGTGGACCACCCTCTTGAATGGAGCCCAGAATTAGGTGATGTCAGGTGATCTATAAAGCTGACAATAATATAACATACTGGCTTATCTTATGTCTAATTCAGGAAATACAAAATAAAAGGAAAGATTTATTGAGATTATTATCACAGAATTATAATTAATATATACACTTAACAGGGGGTGATAACTTTCATTATCACAATGACTTCTTGAAGAGTGATTGAGCTGTTCAAAAGCTGGCCCTTGATCTGAAACTTGCTGACTGATGCCCTCTTCAAGAGTCCCAACTTACTATGCAGTTCTGAATTTTGAAACAATGTAAAGTTAGAAAAATATTTGAATTTAAATGTATTTTCTCCTAAACAATAGTGTTGGGTGTTAAAGAAGATACTGTCCTATAGAAGCACTGGCCAAGCTCCAGTGTAATACATAATGCCCATAAGCTAGGCTTACATATCTGATTATCAAGTGTCAAAAACATCTGAAATTCGACAAGAGTCAACAAGTTTTAGACTAATAATAAGTATTGTTATTAATACAAATTAACATATTCTAATCTTAATCAAATAGATTATCTTAATCCATGTAAATTATCATAGATAAAGCCTCTAATGAGCCAAATGTGTAATCAACCAGGCTACATGTTGAAAATATTTTTACAGTTTGAAATCAATATGGGTAGACCAATGCCAATATACTGCAAACTTTCCCCTCATTGCACACAGCATGGCAATGCCAGTATTTATTATTTATTCTGTAAGGAGCAGAAAAATCAGATCTTAAAGTTTCATTTCATTACATCGATTCCTCTAAAAGTCTTGTTATGATATACAAGTAAAGGCAAAGATACAAAAAACAAAACATTGATGAAAAAGTAAAGATAGAAAAATAAACTTGAAATTTACAATTGAGACATTAACAAAAATATTCTATATCATAAAACATTTTCTTTATTACAAGAGATTCTTAACATTTTGGAAATAAAGGATTTTGGAGATTCAAGGGAAATTCTATACTTCAACTTGAGTGGACGATGTAAAATATCAAAACATTGTCTCTTTAAAGAGATAGAGTCAGATACAGATTTCTATTACCACTTGATAGAGCCCAATGTCAGTTATCAAGTGGAATTCTAAGAATGGTATATATACATGTACCAGATACGTACCGGTACTCTTGAATGCTTGGGCCGTAAACTTAACTTTTCATCGGACGTACCATTAACTGGCTTTAAACAAGGACAATGAGTGAAATAACTGCAGAATTAAATTTTTAAGCATACAAGACACATGCCACTGTATTGCCATACAGGACAATACTATATTCTCTATATGGTCAGAAACCACAGAGACAACAGAGCACCAACTGTCAGACCCATTGTCAGAGATAATGCCATTATAACTCCAGCACCTTCTGCCTGCTCAATAGGAACATTCATAGGAGCAAACATAAAGGACAAGGTACTTAAATAGCCATTAGATATTCCGAGAGTAAGAGTAAATATCATTGGATAGACATCATGATCAAAATAGACTGGAATATTCTTAGAACCAGTATTACAATACAGCAACAATGGAATGTAAACAACACGCAAAATTGACAGAAACAAAAACACATGTTTATGACGCAGACTAGGTTTTGGTAAGAAGGTTGTGAACACTCTACCCAACAAATCTCCTATGTTAAATAACAGGAAGCAGGCCACTGGTGTAAAGTATAAATTGGTCCAATCATTATTAACTTCAGGATGCATAGGTTCAATTGTTGAACAGATTGACGGAAAACAGGATAGAGTTACTATGAATGTCAAAAAACAACACAAAGTATGTGACCAGATTTTTCTAAATATAGAGGTAATGTATTCACGATATCCAATAATTTCTTTATAGGCAGGTATCTCATTGTCCGAATTTTGAATAGCATGGATTTGGTTTGAGAGATAAAATTTCGAAAATCTCAGCCTATACAACAATCCATAAGCCACTAACGATAACAGTGAAATAATGGAAGCAGTTAAAAAGAATCCAAAGGCACTGTCAGTTTCACTTCCTTTTCCCATAATGGAAAATATTCTAGCCAGAGCTGAAAAAGTTCCACCAACAGCTTGTCCAATCATACAGGCTTGGGTGTATCGAACAGGAAATAAACAAGAGAGTCCTATAGCAGAGCCAGTTGTCACAGATACAGCAGCCATAACCACAGCAGCAGATGATAATGTCAAAATGAAAAAAACATGTTGCCATTCATCAGAGTCAACGCGTACCAAGATAGTAGTTTCAATAAATACCACAGTAATTATCAAAATGGAAGTTATCATTCGAATATTGATGGGTATACTTCTAATAAACAAAGTCGTCAAAATCATAAATACTGTGTTGGTTGCCATGGAAGTAATGGAGAGATAACTCACAAATAAACGTTGATTCAGGGTTTGATTACTTTTAGTGTAATGCATATCCTCAGGAAGACTGGTGTTTCTTAGTTTATATCGAAAATAGTCTTCTGCCGTTATAAAGAAATTCCAGGGAAGTAAACAGGCCATTCCCAGAAATATAAATATCAGATATACCAAGTGGTATCTATCATTAGGTTTAGTATAAGATTTAACTGTCCGAGATGGACTCAACAAAAGTTCTGCCTCATTATTCATATTGATACTTCTCTCCATCTTGATACCTTTCTCTCAAACACTTTCCAATTTGTTGATCAAACTAAAATCTTATTTGATCTCCTCCTGTCCAATACAACATTCTGTTCTGGTATCAACACCATTTATTAAGAATATTTCTAACAATCCTGGAAGAAAATTGAAATCTTAAAAAGTTTTGAACATTTAAAATTTTCATCATTTCCAGTATTTCAGTAATAGGGGTTCATATCTTATCTTATCATGAAATCATTGTCTTTTACTGAATACCATAAGTACCCAGCACCATAGCCAGGAATTAATTGGTGCTGGGGCTCAGATTTTTTACTGAAAATATGAAGAATTAAAGACCCAGAGAACTCATTTCTGACAATTTTGTGGTGCCAAGAATGTATCAAAATCTATATCTTTTTGATTTTGTACAAAGACATTGCAAATGAATCAATCTCTGCTGAAATGAAGAAGCAGGTTTTGCTGGGGCTTAATTCCCACCTGCTGTTCTAGACACAAATTAATCTAATGCATATAAGCCCACCTTAATAGATATTTTCAACAATAATCTAATGATCTTGGATGCTTTCCAAAAACAAAATTTTGAATTTTGTTGTGTATAGTCAGACCTATCTTGCACTCACAAACACGGGCATCTGTTTCTATCAATAGTCGACTCTGTCTGCATAGAAACAGATGCCTGTGGCCTGTGCTCACAAACCCTCATTTTGACTTTTGTGAGTTTTTGGCTCGGTCATAGGAACCAAGTTCGCTGTGAGAACTAAACCATCACACAATGCTGTTACAAGTCCACTAGACTAGATACTATCATAAATCCGAAAAGATTATAAATTGAATACCGGTACCATATTCTCAGAGAAAAACCTCTTTTTCTAACATAGTGACTAGGCTACTGACAGGTCATGTGATAACCGGAAATCCCCTTTATTTTGTTTGTATTAGACTCAGACTACAAATAATTTCTGCAATCTTGGATCATAAATAGAAGTAGCTTCAGTAGTTTTGGACATAATGGGGCCTATTATTTACCAAACAGAAAATGCATCAACTATCCACCTTTTGATAATCTCTGTAAGAGCTTATGATAAAATATATGAATAAAATATGGGCAATGTGGAGAAAATAGTGTCAACATATTATGTATACACTATTTTCTCCACATTGCCATATTTTATTTATATTGATAGAACTTCAAGGGCCTGTGGTCTGAGTTACTGGGTAGGGTCAGATATGTCAATTGTTTCTCCGTCATGTTGGATTAATAAATAACCGCACTATAAAACAAAATATTTTTTTGATACAAATTTGTTTATTCAGCAACATTTGTTTCTCTCAGAAACTTAAAATAAATCAGCAAAATAAATAATAAAATTTAACATTATATCTTCAATTGGTTATAGATGAATATATTTTTCTCTAATAAGTATATGAATATTAGGTGTACTATTACAGACTAATCATTTGGACAATTATACAGACTAATAATTAGGATACAATAAAATATGATTCTGAAACATTTTTTTTTAAATAGAAGTTAATTATATTCAATATGCCAGAAAAGAGAGAGAACAAGTTATTCAGAACAACACATCATTAAAATAAGATTAAATAACAAGGCAAGATGTAGAGTTGATACCCCTTAATTATTCATTGGACTTTCCTATATGTGCATCAATATGAAACAATGTAACAATGTATTTTATGTTCAGATGAATTCATTTTCAAAATAGGGGGTGTTTTTGCTGCCCGTAAAATTATATATAATCTTATGAAAAAATATACAAATTTAGCTATGTGGATTTCCTGACATGGATGACGAGTTGACAACCAAAATGGCAGAGTGGCATCAGGTGTTTCAGGAGAGTAAGGAGTAAGCATGTTGCATCTCTGTAACGACACACAACACATCATTCAATAATTGTGGAGCTTTATTCAATATACAATTTCAACTTAATAACATAATATACAAAACTACTATATGGTTCTTACTTGGAAATAACACAAAGGAACGTAGTTTACAATCATGTTGAATCTCTCCCTCTTAAAAACGGAGAGTACCAATTATTAATTAAGCAGTTTGACCTTGTTTTGGTGTATGGCTTAATAATGGCTCGATATTATTTAGTTGAAACTTTTAGTATACGTAGGAGACATATTTCTCTACAATTAGGCGTTTATTTTACTCCACTCCGTACACTAGTTTTCAAACAGCTTCCAAAACACATAAAAAACCTTATACGTTAAAAAAAACATAATATGTTTTTAAATATTTTTAATGTTTAAAAATTAACATTGATTTTTTAGTTAAAATTTCCAGATACTTTAAAGGGCACATTTCTCTAGATTTTGGTGTATAGTTTTCACAAACTTGAGCAAAAAATATTCTGACCTACAAAAAAAAGCGGAATGTCCCTTTAAGTGGATGAAGAGATTCAAAATGGTTGTCAACTACCAACTGTTATTTCTCTGTAAGAACTATATGTAATTTAGTATGCTAAATAACACTGACATTTATAAATAACTAAAGGGAAAAATAATTTAAAAAATGGACGGACTGATATGTTAAATCACAGTTATAATTGAGCCTTTTCTAATCTTTTTTTCTGTACTGTTTCTGTCATTTCTTGTCTTTCAGATAACCTCTCCTAAAATAAAAAACATTTCAACATATCAATTGAGTCGAAGGTATTTTCCACATCATTCTATACATCAACAAGGTATTGAAATAAAATAAAATGTTGCTTAAAACCTTACTACTGTACCAGATTGGGCAAATAAAGACAGGTAAAGCCTTACAGTGTGCAATGAGGGCAATTTTGATTGCTTAGCCTGTAGCCTCTGTTGAACGAATAAACGCTTTTTCTATATCAGCCCCTCTGAACTGCATCAATGATAAGAAAAAAATAGGTCCAAAAATCTGTAGTTACCCAAAATTAGAATTTTATTTTCAACACTTACAATAATTCATTGGTTTCCTGCAGTTCTGTAATCTTAGCTTCAGTCTGCTGCATCCATTCTTTATATTTTTCATTGAATGATAATTTAAGCTAAAAATAAATAATTTAAAAAGAGTTCAACTCCCAAAAATTAGTTAACAATTATCCTTCTTTTTCTTTTATCTGTTATTTTTCATGTCTATTGTAATCTAAAAAATTTTCTTTCACATTTGTGTTCTTTTCAGAGCGTATAATGACAGCTTCATTTGGTTTCGCTATCTAACAATTAGTCATCAGCAAGAAACATAGTGGATTTGTTAAAAACAAAGTCAGTAGACCACTGTAGTAAAAAGATTTAGGATTGCACTTACAAACAAATATCAAAAAGAAAAAAAAAAGAATGAAATAGAAATGTCAACTTCACGCCATAATGATTAAACGACAGATCCTCATATTTCATTACATTATTTTTTCAAATGATTCTATTCCTTGAAACTAATTAGAACTTGTCAACTGTATTAATGATGCCATCATATCACGAATACAGGTTTTGACATGGTCTTATTAACCTGTATTAAACTAAGCCCACTACACTTTGTTTTAGGGGCTTGAAGAGATTGGCATGCTGCTTTCGTTTTGATTATGCTCTCAAACAAAGCGTCATAACGATTGATTTGTTTTGATTGGCTGAAATTTGCTACCAATGCATTAAGGCCAATTTTGATTGGACAATATTTAGCATTGAATACGTAATTCTCACTTGTGTTACCACAGCCCCGAGGAAGTATGACGAATGGAGTGTGATTTGGACACGATGCAATGATGCCAAATACAATGAAAATCTGATGAAATCGAAAGCCTATATTGTATCCACAGCCCAAATTTATAAAGATAAAAATGCAAATCAAATAAAGGGAGAAGTATTCACAATAAAGAAATCTATAGGAGGGAAAAATATATTTAGTGAAGGCTCAAGGGAAATTTAATTGGCATTAAAAAACAAACTTGTTAGAATAAAACCAGAGCTTCCATAGGGAATATAAAATTCAAAAAAAGAATTCATTACAACTACAGAAAAATGGGGTTAATTTTGCGATAGAAAGTATAATCTAATAATTAATCTAAATTTTAAGGATTTATCAACTACTATCATCTGATTACAATGCAGATCAATTTGTGTTTTTTTCTGCAGGCAACTTCCCTTCCATGATCTGATGAAATTCTTTAATAATGAGTGTTCAGTTCACTAACCAATCAAAAACACTGTCAAAAATGGGCTGATACAAGTCAATGTTTATGAATGGATTCCCATGTAAGTGTTAAAGCTTTCTTTCAAGCCAAAGATCGGCTGATATCTTAATGACTTCAACACATGTTATGCAACAATTTCTTCAGATCATGGACGTCAAGTGGAGCTGATCACCAAATGAACACAAATGAAACATCTAAATCTGCATTATAACCAGAGGACAACTACTAGTAAAAGAAGATCAGAATGTGTAGAAAAGAATTGACACCAAAGCTGACAACGAACACAAAATGGTGACCTGTTCTGTCAACTCATCTTCCTTAGCACACCACTGAGCTTCTTTTAGCAACAAATCCATCATCAGAGTGTCTACACGTTCAGCATACTCCTCGTTCTGTTTTCTGCGAGCCTTATTTTCATCTTCCAAATCCTCAAGTTTATAATGTAATTTTAACAATTCTGGTTGATGAATGCAATCCGTCTGCAATTTCATGCAAAAATGAAAGATAAATGACAAAGGGCAATAACTCTGTTACCTGCATTTTTAATTTCTCCTCATTGTCACACCAATTGGCTTCTTTTATACTGAGGTCTGCTTCTAATGATTTGATTTTGTCCTTGAGGTCGTCGCTATGGAGACGAAGTGCTGCATTGTCTGATTCTAATTCCTCAATACTGGTTTTGAGCATCAATAATTCGGCTTCATGGTTACAATTTTGGTTAGAGCCCTAGAATCATCAAATGAAAAATAAATCTTGTCTTGCGTCTCTAACTTTGACTAAGGTCATCTGATGCTGATGCTTGTGCCATTTCACTTAGAGGATGACAGGTCATTAGACTTCTGCTAGGTAGGCCTGTTAATACAATCAACTATCCAACTACAAATTAGATTTGGCATTTCATAAATATAAAACTTTTGTTCCTATTTTTAAATTAAATCTACCCACTTTTTTATTCGACTTTTTAGCAGCAGATAATTCTGCTTCAAATTTCTTGCGTAAATCTTCAATTTCTTTATCTTTGTCTTTGTCAGTTTTCTGTAGTTTCTTCTCCAGATTAGCTACTTTTATATCATTACTTGAATCTCTTAACACAAAAAAAACAACATACAAAACTGTTATAAAAATTTGGTGCAATAAGACACTTACATTATACAAAAGAAAAACGATTTTTGAAGACACCACTGCTTAACACCTTAGATATTATTATCAGATTTTGCTATAGTGATGTCAAAAAATTCTTAGTTAAATGTAAACTTGCAAGATCTACAGGCATCTTGCTGAAAATTGGAATGGTTCAAACCCTAGTTTAGAAAACATCTTTACAAATTCTGTTAAGTCAGCAACAAGTCACTGCTGGAGTAGGGTAACAGATTGGCATGTTATTACCACAAAAAGCTTCTCTGTGCTTCAACACAAACCTCCCTAGCAACAGATCCTTCCAATGTACCATCATGTTAAGAAAGCATAATACCTTTTGGCGAATGGTGTACCAACTTCTACTACCTCTCTTTCTCGTTTGGTAATTGTTGTGTTTTTAGCCTTCCGTAACTCGTCCAATCTTTTCTTTAGACTAGATACTTCTTCTTCTAACTGAAATTGATCAAACATTCATACAATATCCTTGATATTCAGTAAAACAGCCTTTTTTAACTAATCAACAATGGTCAAGATAATGTTGATCAACATTCTTGCAGAGTTTCAAAACAAGTTTTGCTAGGCTCTATATAAGTTTCATGAATACTTTTAGTTTCTATTGGCATCATTATGATTCCCAATTTGACATCTGTGTTTCTTGTAATTTTTTTAAAAACTTTTTTTATGACAAAATTTTGATACCGTGGCCTACTATTAGCTGGAATAATAAGGTTTTCTAACCAATAACAACCTCTGCAATATTGAAGCTGCAAAATCAATTGTTTCTGTGCTTATTAATGTAAAAGTCACTGCCAATTTCTTTAGGCGGTTTTGGAGGTACCATAAGATAGACCTGTTCACTTGTCAAAATGGATTACCAACCTCTTTTATTCTCAACTTCATTGCACTATCATTGGCTTTTAAAGCCGAAATATCAGGGACACTTGTTTGTCTTTTGGTAGCCATTTTTTTTCTTCAATCAATGATCAAATTTTTTCTTTTTCATTTTACTGAAAACATAACATATTACTATTAGGACATGTTTAATTAACAATTCAACAGAGACTCATGAGTCCAGGAAGTGTTTTAAAAGAAGTAAGTCAGAACGAAATAAATTGACATGAACTTCATGAGGAACAAAAATATATACATTCAAGTTTAAAGTGACTTGGCAACACAGCGAACAAGTGCTGCTTAACAAGCATTTAATGCTTTTTGTCACATCATAGTTGAAACAGACACAGTGTCAGCATGTTGAAACTTGCAAATGAAATGTGATCAAAAAAAATATGCCAACCAACAGTCAACACATTTTGTTTTGAGCAAAATTCAGAAACTAAAATAAAACAGCATCTTAAGTCAATGATGCTGGAGTTATCTCAATATGTCTATAAGGAACTTTTAGTCCTTATTCAAATCATGCTTGGAAAGAAAGTGTCATTTACGGTCTCAGCCAGTTTTAAAATCATCATTTGAACAACCTTCACTTTCTTCACCATCTTTGTTGTTGTTTACATGGCCTTCAACTTTGACCTTAGCTTGGAAACCATTTCCAGGTCAGGGAAAATTTTTAAATAATTATATAATGCTTTATCATCCCAGAAAGTGACTTACGTGTTTAAAAACTATAGTTAGTTTGAGGAAAATTGTGAAGACAGATACAAGGTCTAGAGTTTTTAGTCCATTGTTGACCTTTTCTTTCATTTCCTAAATTTTCGGAGCGCCCCCTATCGATTAGACGGCCATATTTGATATTTGCCAGAGGTAAAATTTTGTTGTTTTATATCTGTTGCCATCGTATTGTTCACACAGTCATCTTGATGATTTAGAGGAATAATTTGCAAAATATGAACATTTGTTTAGAATCTCATACTTATATTTAGTTTATAAATTCATTGGTATGAGAGGTACTTGAAATCGAACAGGCGTTGTTTTCAGTCAGCTTAATTTGTTGGATATTTCCATTAATCACTTTGCCTTTTAGAAATAGGCTTAAAAATAGGTAACTTCCTTATCAATGATTTGATTGTATCCTTTTACCGATTCAGACTGATATGGTTGTTTTATTAAACTTGCTTGAATCATTTAGATGTATTTCGATCTTTGTATAAAAGAGAAACATCTGCAAATCGCTTTACTTGGGTTGTCTCCCTTTGATTTCCCTTGTTCAAGTCAAAGGACAGCGACATTTTGGGAACCACTGCCATAAGGCTGAATATTCACTGCACTTAATAGTGCAGTTGGCCTTATGGTTTTTACTGCCTAATTTCACTTGGGGAAAGCATTTATTGTTACAAGGTGTATGTACTCAATGGAGTGCATTCAGTCAGAAATTTCAAATCCGGGCTAGGGCCCATTAATTTTTTGTCTCTGGCCATGAGGAGATAGTTTTTAGCCACTATTCAAAGGCAAATTCAATGGCTGTAGATTCAGTTATCCAACTAACAAGTGGTTACTGGTGAATGCTAAGTTTATGTTTCCATTTCAAATTCTCTCTAATTTTAATGCCAATTCCCCATGCTGAGTTGTAACTATTTAAAACTTCAGTTTAGAAGAATTGGCTAAAAAAATATCAATGTCTTGGAAAAATCAGATAGGCATTTCTTACAGTAGTGGTTAAGGTTTTTTTTTGTTTAAAGATATACCGTATGTGTGCAAAACATTACTTATTAAATTACCATAGCACATACATGAAAATTTCTTATACTGGTACTATGGTACAGGTAGACTATTTATCAAGAATTGAAGACTCGTTTGCGTGAATGATAAGCTCTCGTTTGATTAACTTTATACAACAGTTTCCATTGGCTTGGAGTCAAGTTAGGAACGATGTCAGCCTTTTGCCTTTTGAATGTGCTTAATGAATTTACATATAATGTTAGTGCTATTTAAGTTCAGATTTTTAGACATTTTGCTTTAAATTTCTCAGGACGATTGCAGTCTGTGTTATTGTTTTTTGATATAATGTTTTGAAATCTTTTTCAAATAAAATTCTAAAATATTCTCAAATTATTTGCAACAGGAAATGTGGTTATTGATATAAATTCTGATTATGTTTTCCACAGCACCATATTTCTATGAACATGTAAATGGTGTTCATTTCAATTTTATTGATTTATTTTCTAGTAATCTATTAAAAAAAAACCTGTCTACAGTCTCTGACTCTGACATATAAGCTGGCTGAGTAATTATTTTAATGATGATGATTCATTAATTATATACGCTCAACTAGCCATTGATATTGTCTGGTGGAGCCTGTATTGTAAGGGTAATTTTCTCAGGACCTTAAAGACGATGGTTCACCATTTTGAGGGAAAGATTTGGGGGCTTGAATACCTTCAGAACTACTATTTTAAATTAGAAATTTCACTTTCTTTGTCTATTATATCTTTTCTATGGCAGAATATCAAGAAAGGCCAATTTGTCACTTTAACTTTAAAACTCAGAAAATTCTGCACACATGGATTTGAATGCTCAAATTTCGACGTTCAGCTGTAAACTCTATTACTGCTTAGCTAAAATATTCCTGTGTCTGAATCTAAGGCATGATTGATTGGTCAAATGAATGGCGAATGTGTTCCCTTTAATTGAATTGATTATTTCAACAGTTCACAAACAGTTCTTGAAATACAAGATGAAGACTATATTTTATATTTTAGTATCTTGAGGCTGTTGTTTACTACTGTGTTTAGAAAAAGCGAATTTATATTGTGATATATATATAACCTACTACTCTTAGTGACAAGATGGCTACTCCAGCGGTGGAGCAGCAGAATTCTACAAACCATGCCAATCCTATGAAGGATAATAAGGCAGCAATCAATTCAAAGTATGCTTTGTTTTTACATTTATAACTGTTGTAGTGGAATATTCTATTTTAAGTGGAAGAGTCATTGCTGTGAAATTTGGCAAGAAAATATGAAATATAGCTGTTTGCTTCTTGCCTTTGCCAGGTTTCACAATATGCATCATCTAGTCAAGTTTGATTATTGGAAAGATAATTGTGCAGAAGAGTAGGACGTAAAACTACATTTCATTTGGAAAGATTTTGGATCTGTTGTTCAGTGTGTCACGATGGTATCTAAGTTAGGCTTCCTAATAAAACATCTGCAGCCATTTTATTTAGTTTTTAGCCAAGTTTTAATTGATTATCTTTCAGTGACCAAGGATGGAAGGCTAAATTGAATATTCCTGAAAAAGATATGAGAATCAGAACCACTGTAAGTAAATGTATTTTTAATTTTAATTGTCATCAAGAGTTCTTGAGCTGACTTCTCTGCTCTGCTCTCCAACCACAGTTAGCTCAGAAATTAAATTTTTTCTGTCATTTCACAAATATTCAAAATAAATTTTCAGTTGCATGCTATTTGTCTTGAAATGTCTAAAAGTTCAATTTTTTTTAATGGTCTTTTTAGGATGTGACCAACACCAAAGGCAACGAATTCGAAGATTTTTGTTTAAAACGTGAATTACTGATGGGAATTTTCGAGAAAGGCTGGGAAAAACCCTCCCCTATTCAAGAAGCCAGTATTCCTATAGCATTAACTGGAAGAGATGTATTGGCCAGAGCCAAGAATGGAACAGGAAAAACTGGTGCCTATGCTATCCCAATCCTAGAAAGATGTGATCCAAACAAAGATGAAGTACAAGGTTAGTTATATTTTACTTTGGGCCCTGGAAAGTGCTGGCCATGACGTAGATTGCTTCATGATTCAAACTTATCACACATCGGGCAATTAGAATTCGCTATCCAGCTGGCTAAGTACTGATAGATTGTAACCTCATCAGATGCCCCCAAAATTGCCCTCCATGCCAATTCCCCCATGCTGAGTTGTAACTATTTAAAACTTCAGTTTAGAAGAATTGGCTAAAGAAATATCAATGTCTACTTGTTTTGAATTTTTAACTTTTAGAAAAGTTCAAATGGACGTTGCTTACATAATCCATTACCCCATATCCCCATATAAATTGTATCGTGTCATGATTACTACTTATAGAGAAAGGTTCATATTTTGTTTTCAGAACACTACTTATAACTAGCTCAATATGTAATTTCTAATGATTCATGGTGCATTTATGAAAGAGTCCCGTCTTCATTACCCCACAAGGTGCAGAAGAGTAGGACGTAAAACTCCATTTATTTCATTTTATGAATGCGTATAATCAAAACATTCTTGTATTAATCCATCATCTAGAATTATTTATGCATATTGCATGATTAACTTTTACCAGATAAATTTTATACTTGCTTAATTAAAGGCCATCTTTCTTTCAGCTATGATTATTGTTCCCACAAGAGAACTTGCTTTACAAACTAGTCAGATATGTATAGAAATATGTAAACATATCGGATGTAAAGTGATGGTCACAACTGGTGGTACAAACTTAAAAGATGATATTATGCGACTTTATGATCCAGGTAAGCCTTCTACCCTTTAGTTAAATGATTTTGTCATTTACCTTCTATGCAGAAGACTGATCAAAGCTCATCACTGTAGACATTTTATGCAACGTAGATCAATTTGGAAAAGCATCCCCTATTGAGTGTTATACTGCAAAATAATTACTGATACTTCTTTTTAACCAGTTCCCTTGTTTTTATTTTTCAAAACTTTATTTTGATAATTTCAAATGACCAGTGAATCGTATCTTTCAACTCGATTCCACATTTCCTGTTATTCGTTGTTAAATTATTTTTACCCAAAATTTATTTTTTGATCATTGCAGTTCATTGTATAATTGCTACTCCTGGTCGAATACTTGATCTCATGAATAAAAACTTGGTTAAAATCAGTAAATGTGGTATATTAGTATTAGATGAAGCTGATAAATTATTATCACAAGATTTTAAAGGAATGCTAGACAATATTATCAGCTTTTTACCAAATGATCGACAAATCTTACTCTATTCTGCCACATTTCCCTGTTCTGTTGAAGAATTTATGGTGAGTGAACATTTTGACTGTATAATTTGGTAGAAAACTGGATTTGCAACAGTGCGTTGAGCCGTCGATCATCGCAATCTGAAATTCGGTTGACAAAGTTGTTGTCTAATGTGATTATCGTGAAATTTGAATTCAACAACATACTACACAATTTTTTCTCGAAGGTTTTGTATTATGAATTTGTTCTCTTTTGCTAACTTGTCAAGGAGTGGAACTTACCCAAATTTTCCTAGGTCTGCAATAAGTCAAAGTGAAATTTATTGAGAATGGGATATTCTGTTAGGATGAGTAAGCTCTTGACACCCTGTCTTTACAAATGGATTTTATCATTTCAGAGACGTCATTTGAATAACCCATATGAGATTAATTTGATGGACGAACTAACATTAAAGGGAGTAACCCAGTATTATGCTTTTGTTCAGGAGAGACAAAAAGTCCACTGTCTCAACACTCTTTTCTCCAAGGTAAAATTACTTCCACTTGACTTGTCCGAAATTACAAATTGCAATTGTAAAATCTTGAAAGCTACTGATGACACTCTAAAGGAACATATATCACTATAATGTCTGAAGCAGAAACTTCTTCAAAATTGAAAGCGCTAATAGCATCAAGTCTTTTCCCTACTTGCACTTAACCAGTTCTACTTGCACTTTATTAAGGAAATTGTTTAAATTGAGGATTGTTATTGCTGTACAAGTTCAGACTGGATGAAAGTAACCTTGATCTTGATTATATTTTCAGCTCCAGATTAACCAGTCTATCATATTTTGTAACTCAACCCAGCGTGTGGAATTATTAGCCAAGAAAATAACGGAATTGGGCTATTCCTGCTACTATATTCACGCCAAGATGAATCAGCAACATAGAAATAGAGTGTTCCACGATTTTCGACAGGGTCTGTGCAGAAACCTCGTTTGTTCTGGTAGGTATAATTGATCCAAGATCTTTCGCTAAATAGTTAAGAAATCAAATTGGTATTTTTGGACTTGTGGTATGTAATGGTGTATGATTTCATCTTAGCTCAGAAAAATTCATCAAATTCAATAGGATTCTGGATGACATTATGTTTGTCAACAAAGCAGTCTTGAGCTGTCTCTCCTCATTATTCCAGTCAACACAAGGATATGAATCCGATAGAACCTAGGTTGTTGTCCTCGTCATTTAATGATTGTATCCGCTTGTTATCTGTATCTGATATTGTTTTTAATTGTAGATCTGTTTACGAGAGGTATTGATATCCAAGCTGTTAACGTTGTTATTAATTTTGATTTCCCTAAACATGCCGAGACCTATTTACATCGAATTGGTCGATCAGGGAGATATGGTCATTTAGGTGTGGCCATTAATCTTATTACCTATGATGACAGGTGGGTCTATTATTATTTGTTATGTTTGGATTTGAATATCTTAGTGAATGGCCAATTGTTCAAATGTTGACTATACATTTTGATATACTTAACTATTAAAGAAGTATTATCCAAGCCCTAATCTTTATAATTATGTCCTGTTCCTGTGCTTTTGTAAAATTGTTTTCAATGCAATTTTACAACCATTATTCCAAATCTTGATATGTTATTAATGTTCTTTTTGTAACAAGAGTGAAATGCAAAATTGTTGTTCTACTTAAAATATTGAGCATGGATTTGAAAAATATTGGGATTCAAAACCCTCAAATTTCGTTTCAGATTTTCACTACATAAGATAGAACAAGAATTAGGGGCCGATATCAAGCCAATACCTAAACAGATTGATCCAGCTCTTTATGTCAGTCAATGGCACATGGAGAAAGACGGGGATGAGGAGAACCAATCTGCTGGAAAATAAACATCTTCATTTAAACATCGTGTGGAGAGAAAGAAACATCAAATCATTATCATTTTTATGCAGCACCAAATTGTGTGTGTTTTTGTTTATTTGTACATAGATCCACTGTCTTAGTTGAAATTGGTTTAGATTGCCTCTATTTCTTTAAATCCGAAATAAATTCTTTGATTTTGACTAAGCCACTATATAGTTAAAATAATTTAAAAGTTAGTAAGAAAATTAAAATGGAAAAATCAAATTTAAGTGGTAAAACATGACAACGTCAAAATTCAAAGGTGGATTTATTTTTGAATTGAATAACAGGTGTAATTTGAACTGATTTCGAAAGATGTTTGGTGGAAAAACTGTAAGATACTAAAAAATTGAGACATTAAAACTAGGGCGCAAGTTGTCAGACCATCCATTCTAATAAAAGAACATTCTTTGTCTAAAAGTACCAGTGAAAAACTTGTAGCCAGACATCGTTATTTATTTTTTTGTTGATTTAAATGTTGTATTATTTGTTTAAAATGTAAGCTATTCATTACACCTTGTTCACATCAACACTTTAAAAACGATATGTTATGTTAAAGATTTAATTTTAAACTAGAAATAGTGGATTATTGTCCGATGTGTATGGTATTGTTAAACTTTGATAAAGAAACAAGAAGTGTGCGTTAAAAAACAGAACTTATATAAAAAGGATCAGGTGAACTTCACTCAAATTTGATGGATTTTTGAAAGAACTTGCACCTTATTTTAATTTTTGAGATCTGCTCGATGAAAAAAAGATTAAAAATCCATGTTTAAGATAAAAAAAATAGGTACAATATAAGCTTTAAAAGATTTACAACTCACATTTCACAATTGGTATATTTTTGGTGCTTTTTGAAATTTGGTGGATTCTCCTTGCAAATATCAACAGTTTAAAAAAATCAAAAAGCAGAAAAATATTCCATAATCATAACTAGTCACAAAATGCAGTCATGAAAATCGGAATCATTTCATTTTTGTTTTTATTTTTTTTTTTTTTTTGAGAAAACCTGCAGAAAACAAAGTTAGGAAAAGGGGTAAATTGAGAAGGAATCAAAACCAATAATGAGAATTGTTTTAAAAGATAAAAAAATATAAAAATCAAAAAAAAAAAATTATGCTCAGAAAGATCTTTGAATTTTGTGGGTTTTCTCCAAATTGAAAATTTCCATTTTGTAACAGTTGAAAAAGATTTTCAAGTAATGTGGACAAATAGGTTTCATTTTTCACAAAATAAGTTCATAGTAAGCAGACGTCGCTAACCATGTCAGAAATGGCTGAACATTTTGAAAGCTGGAGAAATTTAAATGCCCAGGACATGTTACATATTGGGCTATAATTGAACAAAAAAGAAATAAAATGTAGAACTTTGGATGCCTTTGTGGATCCTTGCTTGAAGGTGTTTAAACACGTGTTAATGAACCCACCAATTTGAAAGATTACAAAATGTTTGATCATTTCTAGAACTGGCTTGTTGACGTCTGGTGTTTTTGGTCTCGAGTTGACCAAATATTTGAGAATAATGTCCCTTGGTGCTCAATAAGTTTACATTGGGTGAAGTAAATGTTGTACATAGAAAAATTACAAAATTATTTCCGATTCATTCACCATTACATAACTTCATAATAGACTTTAACTAATGTGTTTTCAAAATGTATCAAAATATTGAAGATTTAAGAGTTGTCAAGTTGTTGGAATGGTTTGATGTGATTTGTAATGTGTAATTGTGACATTCTGGAATATATCGGTAAAAGTCTTTCATAATTTGTCAACCATGGACTCCAGTGTTTGAATCGGAAATGGAGCTTATCATGTAATATATTTTTGTACAGATCTAATGTTATTTGAATTGTGAAACTTCCACGCCTTAATTTTCAGAGAATGACTGGGGTGTGAACAAGTGTTCATTGTTCAAAAGACTAGTGTTCACTAGACAGGTGTAGATATACCAAGCCAAATAGTTTTTCTCCTGTTCGCCTGTGAAATGTGAATTAACCCCAGTTGTTGAACTCTGTGACCAGAAGATAAGTGATTAAACTCGAAATTCAAGAAGATTTTACGAGTGTTTATCATTGCTACGAAGTATTATGAGAGATTGCCAGACATTATATTTGCTGCAAAAATTTTGTGATGTTACATATCACCAAAGTAATTTTTTTTGTAAGTCATCATCCAAGATGAGTGTATTAACTTGAAATATTTTCATCATTCGATACAAAGTTTGTGAGCTGAAGAAGTGGACGGAATGTTGAACATTCAATTAAAACTTGACGAGGAAAATCACATTCGTGATAAAAACATAGTGCGAGGAGGAAAAAGTTAAAAACAGTTAGCGATTGCTTTCCATTTCCTAGTTGTGTGATGCTGTTTGTTTCTGCAGTGCAGTCCTGGTCATCCTAATCTCTCAATGCAATATCAAATAAAGGAAAAAGGACCTTTACATTACAAATTCTATGACAATGAAAACTGTGAAAACGGTATCGCAAAATGATGCTGTGTGTGCTACTTTGTTGCCGATGTTGGATGATTGGTGTGTACTGGAATGAAAACGTCTACCGGCATCACTAAATTATCATTCCTCTTTATATATGTATCATTCAAATGTAGTTGTGCTTAATTCGACTGGAAAGGTTTTTGTGCTTGGAAGTGATGCAAGGAGTGTCTGAAAACGGTTGTCAAATTAAGCACATCTATTTAACTTTGCTAGAGTAATTGGAATTTATATCCATCAAAATAGAATTTCAGTTTTTTGCAAAAAAAATCGGACTCCCATATTTCCAATTGCTTTAGTGAAATATATTGTTAAAATTTCCAGAAAACTGGAAAACTTTCCTAAAGGTTTACTTTTTGTTTGAATTTCAAGTCTTGAAATATGATAAGGAAATTAAGAAAATTTATCTATTATTCAAACAGTTTGTACAATTTTAGGAAATCTGTTATGTCTATAAACACGACTGCAAAATTTTGGCAATTCCGATTTTTATTTGAAATTTTTCAGACTCAAAGTTAATGTTTGGCAAAATTCAGATCAAATTGTTCAAACGATTCAATTTCTTGATTTATACCTTAAAAGGCAGCTTTTAATCTCCTGCCTTGTGTTTGAAAAACATGACAGAACAATGGTGAAAGAGTCAGTATGTTGGTATATACTTTTCTTGTGGCAGGTGAGGTTTAATTTGGGAAAATAGTTTCCAAATTGGCTTGGTGTGCCACAGGAGTAAGTGGCTTTCACCATTACAAATTTTGCGAGTATCTTGATTATTTATCAAGGTGGGTTGTGGTATGTATTTCACGTTGTCCTAGTGAAAGGACTCAATTCTAGTCAGTAAATATGTCATTGTACATTATGGAAAATGTGAAATCCATAACTTGAGCATGAGTGAACACTTCCGAATATACTTACGATTTGATAGTGTTTATTTGTGCTGGTAGGGAGAATTTAACTTATTTAAATTATGATAGTATGCAGCCAATCACAATAACTGAAATCCTAACTTGTTATGGTTTCTTTGATTGTGCTTGGTTGGTTCAGCTATAGTTTGAAAAAGTTCAATCTTCCCTAAATTGACTCAACATAATCTGGATTAATTTGGATTATGTTAAGTCTCTATCTGTTATCTGAAGTTAATATAACTTTTAGTGCATCAATTGATCAACAGATTAGTCCTTTGGGACACTATTGGGAATTTGGGATGGGGAGGGATTATATGGGAATTTTTGGCATCTTATCTAGAATATTGAACCTGTTATTTTGACAGAGCTATACTAATAAAAGATATATGGGTTGGATTGGGAGGGGGTGGATTTTAATATGTGGCCTGATTAAAGTTCCGGAAGAAAATATTCGGTGTGACTGCTGTTTGAAAGCATCAAAGAACTAACAAAGAGAAAGGTACTTTGTTGTGGTCACCATATTTTTGTTAAATTGTTGTTAATTTATTAAGAATTCAAGGATTTCATAACCAAACACAGAATTCTACTCTGAAACTTTGCTTAGGTAAAAAATGAAGCTCAGTACTTTGACTTTTATGGTTTATTTGTGTAAGTGAAATTCCAATCCATACAGTATTTAACTGAAGTAGGTTTCTTCAGAAAGCTGATCAACATTTTGTATCAAGGTATTTTAATTCAGTACTGATTAAATCATTTAAGGCTTTTAAAAGGCTTTTGCATTTCTGGGACCAAAACAGATTTTCAGTTCTGGAGATCTAAAACTTTACAATTTATTCTTCATTGTACTTTTTTCTACAACACAAAACCATTAGCCAACATAGTTTCAGTGTAAAACCTGTGTTTGGTTCATTGTTTCTATCACATCTTTTAACATAATATTATATCATGTCTTACTAACTTACTACTCTTAAAAGTCTGCTGTACCAATATTTTGTCGACAATCTTGGATGAATTATTAACTGTTATTGAAGAAAATATCTTGCTTCCACAAGACAATGACTGTAATCAAACAAATGTGAAGTGATGTTAAAAGATATATAAAAAAAAAAACATTCAAAATATTTGTACAGTGGACTGAATCTTAAATGGCATTTTTTTTTTTATCTAATTAGAAATATTGTTATAAGGACAGATTCGTCAAAATACACTTGTTTTTGTATTCCATCTCTGGCTAGCGATTAAAATTACCACAAATTGATTTGTCACAAATCCTGAAGAAAGTTGGTTTTTGCAGTGTATCGCAATAAATATGACTGAAATGAAAATTTAAATATTAGAAAAACAAATGGATGACTCACGAAAAATGGGATTTGTCACAAATCTTAAATATGTAGATTTTAATATAAGCCTTTTATTGTAGCGTCCAATACCTGCACATTTATATTTTCATTATACCCTTCTACCTCCTTGCTACTTATTACAAGCATAATTTAGGTTAAGTGATAAACCAGTTTCATTGAAACTTATCCTGATATTGTTGAGCACTAACATGGAAAGCTGCTGATTTTTGCTCCTTATTTGGAAAGATGTCAATAGGTTGTTCCACTCACTTTAACATACTTCATGAGTTGGATAAAATTTGAAACGTACACTAAATGAAATATTGTTTGATTTGGTTGATACAGAAATAGAAAAAAGATTGAGATACCATCTAACCTTATTCAAAGTGAACACAAATACTTTAAGAAATGGGACCTGATCTTATTTGTTAGATTATTGTCCACTCAACCTGTTTATGTGCCTTGCTATCTTTGAGACATGATATAATGTATATGAATAAAGAATTCCCTCTTTCACTTCTGTGGTTGTTTCTATGTGTTAATGGATTTAATGGAAAGAACCTAGTGCAACTTTCTGTAATTGACTTTAAAAAAAAGAAGAACAGGAAAGGGTATTTGAAGACCATATTTGGAGAAGGTACTTAAGGACCATTGAGGAAAAAGTACTTAAGGACCATACGAGGAAAGTGTATTTTTAGGACCATACTTGGAGGGGGAACATAAGGACCATATGAGGAAAGGGTACTTTAGGAACATGTTTACTGTCAATACCCTTTGGCTCCTTTGACACACCTCACAAGCACTGCTGGTATTGAAATGGATCCAATCAGATTGAAATGCTTATGAAGTTATGTTCATGCATTTTCAATGGGTCAACTCCACTTGCCAGCCATGATCTAACTAGCGGGCTTATGGTTCATATAAATATTGGCAACTTTTGACATTAAAATGTCTCAAAATTCGACAAAAATTTTGACAGATCATCAATGAAAAAGGCCTAACGAAATCTTCAGATTTGTATTATAAACAGATAAAATATGCTTACTTATGCGATTAGCACTTGTGAGAGCATGACTTATTTTAGAAATGAACCTATTGCAAAAGTATAACTCTTCCAAAATTGCAAATATGTAACCATCCACCTACAGCACTTTATCCTAAAACTTTTTCCAGTTATAGTTATAAATTCTAAGGACTGATAGTCTGTATTAGCTACTATACAATCTAATCAAATCGCTGCATTTACTAACTTCCATGATACAAGAAAGATGGCTATTACGAAAAGTTCATAATGGCTCAAATAAAATGAATGGAGTTGTATGTCCTACTTTTCTGCACCATGTGGGCTAATGAAGACAGGCAACGTCATGCTGGGTGCAATGAGGTAAATTAGCCAGGACAGCAGCATTAGCCTGCTCTTTTTCAATTTCTAACTGTTGAGGGATCTTTTTAATGTGCCCAGCCTGTAGCACACTTTTTCCATGTCTGCCCCCCTTACCTGCATCACTGACAAAGAGAAAAATCATAATAGCTCAACACATTGTGAAAATGAGGACTACATGAGTATTAATGTGGAAAGTTTTTCTTCTTCTCAGTGAGGTGCATTCAG